GTTGCCTAAAATAAAAGAAACCCATGGGGAAGAACGATCATATAAATATGCACCCGTTCCTACTGTTATTTAGGTACGTTCCTCAAGATATTTAAACAGAAATTATTCCAAATTATACAGAAGGCATGGGCAAAAAACAAAAAGATATGCCATTTTCACTGTGACACTGATATAAAAACCCCACACGTGAGGCAATTTAATTCCCCGTGCTGGATTTAATCAATGAGAATTCCATGTTTCATTGTGGTCATATATATATTTTCTGTTTTTACCTTTTGGTTGAGCCTTTTTTTTATTATCTTTGTTTTCCAGGCACCGTTCTGCGGCAGCATTCTTAGTTCCGTAGCAATATTTATACACCGCGGTATCAGTATACACTCCCTCGTATAAATTCCCATCACGGTCAATAATACCAGACTTGAGAAATATATCTCGCAGTTTCCATGTCTTTTTTCCATGTTTCTGAAGACTTTCATCGATCTCCACCTAGATGAAAGTTTTAGGTACCCTTATTATTGTTAACAGTTACACTCGTTAACAGTTATACTCATTGGATTAGTATTCAAGTTTATATTATTAGCACTAATTATAGAGAACATCACAGTAATATATAGAGATCATCGGACACGTTGTTGTAACGTTTAGAGTCGGCCATTGTTGATAGATATTGTTTGCTTAGCGAGAACAAAAGACAATTGTGTTAAATATACTCCATTATTATTCAAAATTAACCAAATAATCTAACAATTATTATTAATCGCTATCACTAGAACTGCTGTTTCTGGAACCATTGTGATAATGTGTTGTAGTAGAACATATTGACATAGACCAATACATAAATCAGACCAACACATTCACCATTTGTCTAAAACTCTGGCAGTCTGGCTGTTATTTACAGTGATATTTCCTCTGGATGTAGCTAAATTTGAAACCTGGCTTGATTAAAGACAGAAGTATATGATAAACAAGTTATCACACGATAGATAGCAGTTGCTCGCAAATCTTTTTGCCTGATCTTAAATGTATTATTCATGTATTATAGGATTTTTTGAGACCTTGATATGTCTTTCAGTGTAGGGAGGCTGGCTCCTATACTTTGTCGTATGGTTTTGGCTGCATTAAGTCATTTAACCTACCTCAACAAAATTTTGTTTACTAGACGTGTGATCAACTTTGCCGCCCGTCTTCTCTATAGATGCAGTTTTCCCTTTCTGATAAAGGTCACAGAGTTTGTTAAGCATGCTATCTTTGGGTTTCAAAGCGACAACACACCACGCTAACTGCTCGGATAATGTAGAAAATTCTGAAGCTTTTCCTAATAACGCCCAAAAGAAAGAGATAAAACACAAACAAATTAGTATTTTAAGATGTCTTAAAATTTTAATCAAAGTGGGAAAAAAATTAATATATCTTACGGGAGTAATCCGACACTAGTTTTTTTATCCTTGCAACACATGCGCAATATTTAATGGTTTTATGAAGCTTCTACATCTGACGTTTGTCTGGTACCTCTTCTTCAAACTTGTTTTTCGAGGTAGCGACTCCATTAAACTGATTGAAAGACTAGAATATTCATTCAGCAAACATATTCTGGTGTAGCCGTAGAATCATATGCAGTAAATCATCAAGACCAATCACAAAGTATGAAATTAGAAAAAGCTAGTGGTGAAAATAGTTAAAACGGCAAAAATTTGTACCTGATTCAATGCGTTTGTCTTCTAAAGAAGCGTAGATGATGCCGACTGCAAGTTGAGCCATTCTTCGAGCCGGAACATAGATATTTTCCGAAGTTTTCTTTGCATCTCCTTCAGAAAAAGTAATTCATTGCATCACTGAGTAGGATCTTCTGATTTCGGAGCTAATGTTTTTACGATTTCCTGACTGTGGCCGAAATATCAAAATAGTGCTCAAAAAGTGCTAAAATTTTGAGCGTTTACATCTCAGATTTTCATGGAAGTGTCAATTTTTACTGAAATAATAAACTTACAACAATTTGCATAATATTATTTGACAGGTTTTTAGTATGTTAGTTGTTACTTGGTAATGCTTTAACACGTGCAAAATATATAAAATTTGAACATGTACTCTTACGCCGGAATTCTAAACTGAAGCTCACTCATGCACACCTACACTCGTTTACTTTCGAAAAATACCTTCAATGGAAAATACCTTCATGCAATAGTTTTAAGGTTATTAAGATCTACTCCATGCATGAGTTTAAGTGTGAGTCTTTTTGAAAACAGCCCCAATCTAGGTTTAGTTAATTAATCGAGGCAGGAATTAAATTTTATAATCGCTTACTTTTTGTTCCTCGAAACTCTCTAGAAATGCGAAATGGTGCTAATGAGAATGCTGCCGAAATTCCGAGAGAGTGCTAAATTTTGATTAACATGCAAAATAGTGCTCCAAAATGAAAAAAGTGCTCAAAAAGTGCTTAGCGCAATCGGGAAAGACCTGCCTATTAAAAGCCTTAACATACAAAAATTGATATTATCAATTTTAGGTGTAAAGGTGACTATTGAAAATTCTGGCCTTTTATTCACTAATCGTGTCCCATTCGACGAATAGTCGTTAAAAAATTGAAAAATCCTATCATGCATTATAAGACTTGAAAATAAAACTTACTTGGTTTGGCTAGGCACTTTATTTGATCACTGTACCAAAGCGTCAATCTGTAAGCGACATCCGTACAAATGTCTACTTGTTCACCGATTGTCGCAAGACACGAGATGTATTGCCCAATTTGTTTTTGTTTTTCTTCGCCACGCGACCTCATTTTTTTGACAACAGCATTGACAGCGAACTAAAATTATAATAAACTGGTTTAAAGGATTTACCATAGTGCCCTTGAAAGAGTAAAACAGCGAGCTATAAATGATTTGCATTAGGATTTTATTTACTTTAGGTCCCAGTTGCATGATACTGGATCAGTCTTCGTACCGCGGATTATCTATGTTGATTCGATATACATATGGTATCGGATTTGTCTTGATTACTCGATAACGGATTGACTCAAAATAGAAACAAAATGGCGGACAACGAAGGGCAAGCAAACACAAAAAAATATCCTTGTGGACAGACAGTTAAGTAGAACTTCTCTTGGAATCGAAAACTTTGCAAGCGTTTGATATCCATTGAGTCTTCCCCCCAAAATATTATATACCAGAATGGAGCGATTACACGGAGACAGAAAAGGGTCATTTTTCATCTCAACTCAAAGCGGAGTGATTTTCATTCCGTGGAGCGCACCGGATTACCACATCCTCGTGTAACTGCATGAAACACCTATATCATGGTATCGAAAGTAATCCGGTACGCTTAGTATCACGTGTCATGTAACTTGGGCCTTAAACGTACGCTATTACGACTCGCATTTAATTAGTTGTCATCTCGATATATGGACAAATTTTCTAGGGGGTATTTTCCAGTTAAAATACTGCTAAAAAGTTGCAAAGAAAATTTTTTTCCCGACTACGTATTCCTGAATATTTTGAAAGCTGAATTAAAGCATCTGGCAGCCGCGAAATCGCCAATTGATATTAACATACGAAAGGTTATTGATTCAGACGACTTGTTTTTACTGTATGCAAGCTTCAAATCTTGTGTGCAAGTCTTATTTTGTTGAGCATTTTTAAATCATTCTGTTCACCAAAGTTTAGGTATAAAGAATTGCGGTTAAGTCTATATGAATGCAAACTCGATTTCCGCGGTGCCGTCTCTATATGTGTCCCTGCCAAAGTAACGGTAGACAGAGCACCCTAGCCAAGGTACCAAGGCACTAACCTGAGCGATGTTTCCTACTATACCACCAACCAATGGAAAAAAACCAAATATAGCCAGGATACTAGAGCCTGTTTCGATCATATCTGCATATTCTCCCAAACTACCCTCACTTGCCCTTGCCATCCCTCTTGATATAGCCTAAAAAGACAGAACACATTACAACTACTAATGACTAAACTATCTGGTAACAACAAGGCAAAGGATAGGAAAAGCAAATCAAAATTTATGCATTCTAATTGGGTTACTGAAAATGTAGACAAATTTGCAGATTGGTCTAGAACGAAATTCCCCTTTGTTTGTCATGAAACTGTCATTATTTCATGCTAGGGGCTGTGTATTTTTCAACGAGCGTTATCATGACTAACCTTTGAACCAATGAATATTTCTTCCACACCAAGAAATATCGTTCGGTAAAAAATCAGAAGGTTGATATGGGTGGCTTCAAATCTTTTGGAAACTTCATAATGCCTGTTCTGCCGTTTCTGTTGGGCCTGCAAAATTTTCTGCTCTTCGTTAAGAGTTTTCACATCTTCCTTTAGTGTTATCATTTCCTGCCGAATACGATCGCGTTCACTAAAAGGACGCAAGAGATTTTTTACTTTAATAATCTTGATTAAGCTCACATTGCAAAGTATAGTGGCATTTTGATCCTAAAACAATTTCGTACAACTTCGACAATCGATAGCTATATCGATTTAATAATCAGTTTTATAAATGTCGAAATAAGATTCCATTTTGCAATCGATTATATCAATCGTTATTCTTTACTGATTGCAGCAACCAGTAGAAATTTTGTGAATATGTTTAGTCATAATAACAACAGCTTTGGGGTAAATTTGAACCGAGATATGTCAAGAGATATTGAGTTGCTTCAACCGAGAAATTGATTACTAGTTGCAGTCCCTTCCCGCCTTTTTCAGATCACCTTGTTGTAGTAATGGATAAAAAGAAACAATGAATCGTGTGTTAAAGATTGCTAATATGAAAAACCAAATTCCTCAAATTGTCGGAGAATGGGAAGTTGGAGTTCATTCGTAAATTCGTATTTCAAAACTATTCGAGATTTCTCGCTTTTGAGATAGAAAAAGCATCATTATAGAAAGTTATAGATAACTGCTTTTTCATTTCTCCGAAATGAGAGTGAATTATTAGCCCATACTATATATTCCTTTATTCTCTTTTCGTGTTTTTTTTGACACTCGATCCGCGTACGTTACCTTGCGGATTTTTCTTCGGAGACTTGAAGTTTCAATTGCACGATTCTTTCGACATACTCTTTATCTCTGGCCTGCATGCTTTCGCGTTGTTGTTTCAAACCAGTCAACTCCTCCTGAACTCGTGTAAGATCCTCTTGGAACTGCGCCTTCAGCTGGTTTAGATCGTCAACCAAAATCCTCTTTCGCGCTTCCTCTGCCTTAAATTGGTAAAATTCTTCGCTTTGTTAAAGGGTATTTTGCGATGAGGAGAACGCGGCAATGACAGGATGGAAATTGGCACAAAAAACAAAGACCATTACAAAGGCCCCCACACAAACGTGTTCAGCGATAAGGCTCGTTTCCCCCGAGGATAGCTATCTTCCTACACCGCTTTTAATATTTTTACGAGGAAATTTTTTATTATGTCGCGTATTTTGGCGGGAAAACGCTCAAAACCTAAAATCTTTTCGGCGTACCACTCAAAATTAATTTATTTTACCTTTATTCTTTAGATTACGTTGTGAACTAAGTTTTGAACTGTATTTGGTGAATGCAAAACACCAAACAAAGGAGTTTTTGCAAAATATAACCCGGCTATCAACAATGTTATAATGTCAACGCCATTATAACTGAAATGAATACAACAGAAGCTTCGATTCAACTGTCATTTTCTTCTCGGCGTATCCCGAGAAATCTTTTCATTTTCACAATATTTTGAGATTATATAGTAAACATTCCTTGTGGATATTTTTCATGCTTGCAAAACATTTTTAATGCTGAAAATTTTTGTGCTGTTTTGTGAAGATATAACTGAGGCTTTGAGCATATATTACGCAACATAGAAAAATATCTCCTCTTAATATCATGCATTCCTGATAAATTCTGCCCGTTGCGCAGAACGGTATAGTTGCAATGATCTATACCAGATAGATAATAAAGAAAATATCGTCATTTTCCTTTGTCTTACCTTCACATCCATGTTCTTGAAGAAACAATCGTAACTTCGAGGATCGTTGGGATCCAAAGCATAACCAGTGATTTGAGCGCTCAGGCTTCGTAGAAAACCAGTCAAAATGACCTGAAGTAGAAATTTGCATCACCTAATATTAGAAATTTGTTCTTAAAAGCAAAATAGTAACTCTTGCATAATTCACTGAACCAGGAGAAAAAAACATTATTCACCATTTTAAATGAGGTATCAAAATTTTATGTATTTCGATTGGCTTAGCCAGAAGAGTGTAAACAAGTCTTTTGCCCAATCCCTCAGCTGGCGCTCACCGTGCGAGGGTAGTAATTCCGCTCGGAGATTTAGAACGGAATCCAAAAGTGTCCAAATTGAAGCTATTTACACATTTGAGTTACGTCAATATAATTATATAAGCTTAGGTGATAAAATTATTTTCATCGTTTGAAATGGTGAGGGGTTGCCGCATGCATGTATTTCAAGTTAGTTTATATATCATTTATCCCACAAATTTTCACAACAAAACACATCGTTAGATCAGAGTATCAGTGATATACAACTTACTTGAGATTCCGCTGACCCAGTTAGTTTATGCTCAGAAGTGTCCTCGATCAGATCTTGGTAATGTCTTCTCAGCTTCTTCTCAACTTCCTTTTGCTTATGTCGTACACTAAAATTCAACATTTCCACGCAATGCTTAACCTTTTCGTCTCGTCTGGAGTAAATCTCATCGATGAATTCCTTAATGATGGTCATATTGCAGTTCTTGACGGCACTCAACAGTTCCTCCAACTTATATTTTGGAGGTTGATATGCTTTCTTGCCTTTGTCTTCTTTAACTTCACCACCCAATAACCTAGATTAAGACAAGGTCATTAGTAGGAACGCAAGCTTCCCCCAGCCCTCCCCTCCCCTCATCCGACTCCCTAACGCGTTATGAGTGGTGGGTGATCAAAGTTTCGTGGAAGGCTGCTTTAATATCCTGTTAAAAAAGTGTAAATCAAAGGTTTCCCTACCTGAAATATAAAGGGCATAAATCATGAAGCCGCAAATGTTTAACGTTTGGTTCAGATCAATTTCAGGCATAAGCGCTTGGCCTGAGTAACTATTACCGTGAAAAATCGATCTCTCCATACCTGACAACCTCTTGATGATCCGTCTCTTGAGCAATATCCAGCGGGGTTTTCCCTTCTTCATTCCGAATAGTTGTGTTGATATTTATCTCGTTTACCAAATACTCCACGACGGCGGTGTTGCCTCTGCTGGCCGCTATGCCTAAGGCATAATTACCTGCGATATAAACAAGGTGAGCGTTAACAACAAAAAAATTTCCAAAACCTCGGGAGATAATTTAGCAGCGATACTGATTGTCCAGATTCCCAGAACTGTGTTCAAGAAAACATCAGCCAATGAAATGCAACAACGCTACATCAGATTAACCAATCGTTGGCGCAATGAGTCAACTACAGGTAGTAGTAGTAGTGGAATTCAAGGAATAGCACGACTCAGACTCATGACGTGACTGACTAAAATTACATTTCGTAATTTAACGTAACGTAATTTTTTTTTCAAATCAGCAGCGAGTGGAATCCTAGCCTTTCTTGCAATCTGATTCGCTGCAACAGCGGGCGAAATTTTACGATCTATAACCACGGTCCGGGAATCCTATATTTTATGCTCGAACCAAAGCGTATTTGTTTTGTTTTTCTAAAGATCCTGGCTACCGATAATCATTTCTTATTTTGATTATCCCAGAGCCTTTGTGTTCTCGCCAGCGAGGAAGCGCGGGCTCGGGGAACGAGATTGAGAATCCCCCAAATAATGAGACTGAAGGCCGCTTTTTGTAAAAAAAATAAATACGTGATTTACCGTTTTGCTCGGCCCGGATAGAAAAATATTTCGCCTCGGTCCCAAAAACGTCCCTCGGCCTGCGGCCTCCGGTCATTTTGATACCTCTATTCGGACCTCGCAGCCGGTAAATAACACATGTGTGATAGATCTTTTTCATAATTACGTCAAACGTGGAAAGTTTGATGCTAGGCGAAATCTCATTGGCTCGATAGTTTTGTAGAGCCAATCAAATTTCGTGTAACATCAGACTTTCCGCGTTTGACGTCATTATAAGAAAGCTTTTTTTCGTGCATGCTTTGATAAAGGCAATACATCGCTCTCAATTTGTCTAAATTCGGTCCTACTCCTTTGCGCGGGCGTGTATAGTCAGCGGGTAACAATTATAAAATAAGATGTACAATGCGAGCTATTAGGTATAATATAAAGTATTGCGAGAAATGCCTTTTTAACCAAGTACGTAACTACGTGATACCTGTCAGGAACATATTCGTAGAGCTGGCCATATATCACCAGGGGCGCCGGAATATCGATAATAACGGGGGCAGATATTCATATATTCGTGTTCTGCATTATTAACTCCTTTTGAAATCGATTGTTTTTACGATCTGCGAACACGAATATATGAATATCTGCCCCCGTTATTATCGATATTCCGGCGCCCCTGTATATCACTACACCTTTGTGGAGAAATTCAAAGAAATTATGCGAAATTATTCTACCTTTAGCATCGGCAGGGCTTGTCAGAACACTTCCTAGATTTTCCAAGAATTTCAGCAGGTCAACGCTATGATAATTGATACACAGAGATATCGCTGTCTCCTTCGAGTTCGGATTGCAGTAGTCAATGCTGGCCCCAAGCTGTAGCAGATCCTCCAGTTTGGTCGTGTCTCCTTCAATCACAGTGGCCAGAAACTGTTCGTCGACAGAACGTTGAATGTAGTCCTTCAACGGAATGTTGTAGTTGAGATCTGGGGAAATAAAGTCACGTACTCAGTGGCTGCTAAATGATATCTTGGCAAAACGCTTGGTCACACAGTGATGGTAAACCCGAGAATGCAAATGCGAATTTAAAATTGTCCGTCAGTATGCCATGGCGTTGGGCTTTTTTGTAAATTAGGTCGATTTTCACTTACACAGAAATAGTTGGCTAGCAAAATATTTGAATAGTTTCTTTTAAAATTGCTGTTAAAAATTCTGTTAAAATTCTAAGAAAAAGATGCAATTATTTCGCTAGCAACTATTTCTCTGTAAGAAATAGTTCGCTAGCGAATATATACGAAATAGTTCGCTAGCGAAATAATTGCATAATCCGCCAATCTCCTTCCCCCGAGCCCGGATTCAACTGGCGAAGAAACAAAGGATCTGGGATAATTCAAACCGGAAGCCAGAAATCCTGGCTTCCGGTTTGTAACAGTTTATTGTATTTCAAAATTGAAACGGAGTGAACGACCAATCAGAATCATTTCCGATTTCGATTATATATTCCGGAGAATCCCAGAGCCTTTGATTCCTCGCCAGAGGAATGGCGGGCTCGGGGAACGAGATTGCCTTATGCCTCTGCCATGATTTCACTGATTCTGAACTAGAAATATTTCGTATACATTAATTTAGATAGAATAAGAAGGCTTTGTTGGCAGTTTATGATAACTTACTTTCTAGTTTTCCGATTGGATGAACAGATGATGTTCTCGATCGCACCAGCGACGCACCGCGAGAAACGAGATAGTGGATTAACTATATTTCAAAAAAATGGTTTGATTACCCGTCATTTTATAAAAGATTTTGAAAATTATTGATTTGCAAATTATTTTAAATTTCGTTTTAAACTAATGGGCAAATTTGTTTACATTTTCCAGGCTAGACCAAATTAGAATGCCTCAATTATTTAATACTTCATGTAAAAATTCATAGAAATAAAAAAATAGCAAAAATTTATGCATTCTGACTAAAAACACGATTACTTAAGAATATTGTGGTTTGAAATTTTTCAATTGCAGCAACTCGTGAGAAAATATTAGTTCAATTTCAAATACTGTTGTAATTCCATGCCAAGAATTCACAAATCTAATCATGCTTAGTTTTACCTTAGCATTTCCAGAGGCTACAGCAGCTTTCAACGGAGTTATTCCCTGGTAAGAATGGCAGTCGATATCTGCTCCGTGTAAATGTTGTTCTTGCACAGCGGCATGGTCGCCGTTAGCGGCCGCACTGAACAATTGCTTATTTCTCATGGATTTTTGTAATAATCGCGAGATTTGAAGACGTCCCTGGACAAGGAATACACAATGATTATTAAGATGATTTGTCTGCCTCGTATTCCTCATAGAGAACTTTAGAGTTGGACTACGGTTCCCGCCATGACTACGAGATTCGTGATATTGACGTGGTATTCGTGATATTTTGTGCTGACGCCCATTGGCCCATCTGACTAGGAGGTTTTTCAGGAAGGCACGAGGTGCCGTATGCATACGACGTGCATCACGCAGCCGTGACGGGAGCCGTAATCAAATCTAAGGCTCCCTAGTTACTGCTGTTTTGTAGAACTATTCAATGATAGACTGAGACAGTTCTGCCAGGGCATTTTAAACTTGACCACATTTTGAATGTAAATTAAACGATAGACAGCCAAATACACAAAACGAAATTCTTCCAAGTTACCTTGATGCGGGCGAGATCAGTCATCGAATGTTCTTGGTGTTTGACCGAGCAATCAGCACCAGCTTCGACCAACAACTTAACCAACTCTAAATCACCCATTTCAACTACTTGATGTAGATGCGTGTCACCGTCTGCTCGGCTTATTTCTGCACCGCCACCGAACAATAAAAACTGCTTTGCTGCAGGCAGGTCGTTCTTTGAAAGGGCTAACTGGAACGCAAAAAAAATCAGATTGGTGACATATGGAAAGCACGTGGACGTAATTGAGTAAGTGTCATGGTGGTATTAACTACAGATCATAACTTTATATCTCTGAACTCTTTTGGCATTGAGAGACATTGTATGCACCACGAAGAGGCCGTTGTATCAAGCCCATTTAGCTCAAACGGTGGATAAGTCAAAATTAAATAACACTCTTACGCTTCTCTTGAACAAGTCAACTTGAATATTATGCACTGATTACGTAGTTGTAAACAGTATCGTTGCATGTATTAAGGTTTAAAACATTTAGTTTGCTTTTTGAATAAACGTTAGACTTGTTTTCTATTCTCTATAATATTCTGTTTATGCTAAACGGGCTTGATACAACCGTCCCCAGAGGGCGTATTTTATAGCCTGCCATTTTCATTACTGCGTTTTAAATCTGTCCACACATTTCAGATGAAATTTTAGGAGGAAAATAATCAGCAATCCAAACAATGGTAACGAGTGACGCTGAGCTCAGCTGATAGGTCCACTGTGCGGCTGGCTTAAGATCTGTTTACCTATGACTAATAACAGCAATCGCGAAACACGTTGATTTGTATGATATAAAAATATATGATAAAATAGCCCTTTTCCAAGTCCACTTTCCGGTTTTTTTTGTCAAAAATGATAGACATCAACTTACATCTAAACTATGAGTCATCTTCGCTCGAATCCACGAGCTTAAATTTTTGAATCCTCTACTTTCCGCCAATGATAACACCGTGTGTTTTTGTTGGTCAGTGGTCCTTAGTGCTGGCAAATTGTATGGGCAGTAGTGCATGAGGTAAGACATGATCTCTGGATTGTCCTGCGATGATGCCAACAGACCAGGTAAGCCTGGGACAAAAATAGTTAGTAATAAACAGTCGCTCTGGATAAAACGAATATGCCGACCGTATAGAAGACCCGGAAAGTGCTAACAGTTACAACACAGCAGTATCAGAAAGACATAAAAACCAGAGAAACCCGACATATGACGAAATACAACAGCATAAAGAGACAGACAAAAACAAGAACATCGCATTACTACTTACCCAGTGGACGTTCAGGTGCACACCAGTTCAATGTCGCCCCACATTCATGCAGGGTCTGCACCCGTTCCAGGCTCTCTTGTTTCACGGCATTCCACATTAGCTCATTCAGTTTGTTCGTCAGGAAGGTCACGACGTCTTGGTAGGCAATTCGACCGGCAAGCTGGGCTCGTCGTCTCTCCTCGATCGGACTAAGCGTCTCTTGGTTAAGTCTCGTTAATTTTTCTTGCGCGTACTGAAGAGGTCGCTTCATCTTGTTGTCAAAACAACGGATATCGGCGCCTTCCGCGATGGCTTCTTTGACCTAAATATCGGTTAAAAACCATTAAATTGAATAATTAACAATTAGACAACGAGTCCGAGTTGTCTATGAGCGAATAGTCAACGAAGGCGAAGCCTGAGTTGACTATCCGCTCATAGGCAACGAAGGCGAGTTGTCTAATTGTTTTAGTATACACCCTGTACCTAGATATATTAATTTCGAGAAAATAATCGATACACCGCAAAATTACACCGAAAAATAATTTAATTAATGCAATTTTATACGGTCGCGCGAGCGAATTTTTCCCAAACGTGCACTATCACGAATAGACGATGGTTGAGTAGCCAATCAGAATGTAGGATTTGTAATAGACAATAGTCGGGTGTATACTAATAAGGAATAGCCTGGTTGAAAAAAAATTAATAAAAAATTTTACTGTTTTTAAGTTAACAAATTTTAAGTTAATTTTAATTCATCTATTTGATTTTCGAAGAAAGGACATTTCCTTGAAAAGTTCTCTTGGAACCGGCAATAAGAATAATGCCCCCCCCCCAATAAGAATAAAGCAGATTAGGATAAGCTTGTCTAAGAGCCCTACCGGTTATAGCCCACAGTATTCCCGCCTTCAAGAAAATTTTGCCGTGTACCTGAATTGGTCTCCCATTCCTGGCCGCGTCGATCAGTTTTTTGTTAGTCTTCTCGTTTCCTTGCAAGATCATTTGGACCTTTTGAGGCGGGTTGGGATCGAAGCTGATGGGAGATCTGAAAAATTTGTGCTTGGAAGAGGGTCGTTGTTTAGAACGGGTCTCTTTCCAGTCAGGAATGGCGGTTGAAAAGTCAAGATGTTCAAATGTATACACTATGTTCTTGTTTGAGGATTCCAAGGCCAGCTGGGAGACGGACACGCTTCCTTGTTCGTGGTAAGGGTTTGCCCCGGCACGAAGAAGAATTTGAACCAGTGGAAGATTGCCGGCTTTCACTGCCAATAAAAGAGGCGTGTTTCCACTTATGTCGGCGACATTCACCGAAGCGCCTTCCGAGAGCAGGTAATGAAGAACTTCCTTTTTTCCTATGAATGCGAAAAAAAATAAGATACAAGGAGGAATTTCTACTTGATCATAAAATGACGCTATATCCCAAATGATAGCTGGTTTTCTTTTGTTTGGCAGTATTGTTTTGTCAGTCAATAAACCTTTACTTTTAGCATTCACGCGCGCAATGCCTGACGGTAGCTGATTATCAAGGTCAATTTAAGTTGTGATTTTAAATATATAAAGAAGATATACATATATATTGCACTCTATCTGTGCATGTAACATGCATCTGCACGTTGTCTCTGTATGGAAGTCAAGAATTAATCATAAATAATTATGTAGGCGATTTGTGGAACGCCCAAAGCGAGAGATGATTATATTTTTTAATTTCCTGCTTTTTCCACAAATAGGGTACATATGTATCCTTTGGGGCACACCATTATCTCTAGGTATTTTATAGTTGCTATCTGTTGTCTCTAGGTGACGAAACGAAAAATGATGTATCATATATATTAAATGTGCTATCACGTACCTGTCTGTACAGCTATAGAAATGGCAGTTTTCCCATCTTGACATCTTGCATCAACGTTCGCTTGTGCGATGCACAGACATTTGGCGACCTCGACATTGTTCTTGTGTGCCGCCAGAAATAATGATGTCCAACCTGGAATGTAAACGGTAACACAAGCAGGGTTCGTGTCTCTTCTTCTATTATTTCTACACGAACTAAAAACACTACAATCCGAGTTGAGAATGGATTCTTCCTTTGCATGTTTCAACACAGGAGAATATCCAGGAAGAGTATCTATTTTTACTATGCATGAAAAACAATCACAAGTATAACTACTCCAAAATTTTCTTATTCTCCGTGCATTAGGACCGTTTATACTCTAGAACTTACCTTCATATCCTTCTAAATGACAACTTTCATCCACGTATGCTCCACAATTTTCCAACAAAGTTTTGATTTCCTCCAGTTCTCCCTCGTCTACGGCTTTCCATAGATATTTCCCTAACTCCTCTTTAATGATTTTAACGGAACCGGTAAAACCATGTGCTGTTGGAAAATGAAACAACTGTGAATGGGTTCAACTTTCGTGACAGGTCAGTGTTGGGCAGCCGAATTGGTTTTCTGGCCTTTTTTGTTTTATCAAAAGCGAGTGGGGAACTGAATTCAATAGTCTGCATACCCAGTCTGAGGATGCATTTGTGCGCTAAAAGCACTCCTATTTTAACAACTTAAATAACAATCTGAAAAACAATTTGCCTATTTTCATTGCAAAATAACAACTGAGTTTGTTCCAAATTAACAACGTAGAGAGTCTGCGTACGATTTTGTGGCGCAAGTATAATTACCTTCTGCAAACTGAAGCAACATGTTATTTCCACGCTTGATGTTCACTCCCGCTTCAAATAAACATTTCAAAGTCTTTTTGTCTCTGTAGACGAGAGCCATTTCCACAGGACCGGTGCCTCGCTTGTTGAGAACATTGGGATCGGCATGGTAGGTGGTGATAAGGTTCATTAGAACCTCATTGGAACATTTGTATTGGACGGCCAAGGAAAGGATGCTGTTACCATCCGCATCCACACTGTTTACCTGAAACGAAATAATAATATATGAGTGAGAAATACTTCATTTCTCCTATTTAGTTGCAGTGTACTGGATTCCAAGTGACTTTAATAGGATGAAAAGATCCTGGAAGTTTGTATATGTCATATGCCTCTAGTAGAAATGAGGTCATGAATATCGAAATGACCTACCGGGACACCTTTGTCTAAATAGCCTCCAATCTCTTTTGATGTCGTTGCCGCCCCATTCTTTCTTATTTTTTCTCGCAATTCTTTCACCCTGCCAACCTTATCCAACATGGCGGTCAACCGCACGTCATGACCACACATGTCTCGCGCGCTCTTTTTCTCAGCGTTCACCTGATACGCGTCAGCGCCGTTGCTTAGCAACACCCCGATAACATCAAAGTGTTTCTTCATTACCGCCATCATCAATGCCGTTTGTCCGTCGGATCGTTTGAATTTTAAATCGATGACGTCACGACCGAGTTTCATAAGAGCCTGGATGCGAGGGAGATTACCCGCTTCAGACTCTCTCACCACGACAAAATTAATGTGATCCTTTAGAGCCTTCGCTGAATTGCCGTTGTTTTCACGTTTTGCTTCGGCCAAAAGATAACCAACATTAGTTTTGCCATCGGGTTGAATAGCTTCTATGTACTGTTCGTTCATAAAGTTGTTGCAAAGCAGGATTGCGACAATTTCTGGGCTATCCTTAGCGGACACGATTGCCTGGGAAATGATCCTTCCTTCTTGATACAGATCTGCACCGCTCTCAGCCAGGGAACGAACGCGATCGACATCGCCTGCATTTACATCGGTTGAAATCTGTAACAAAATGAGGAGATTTTAACTGAGGCATCTGAACATCAAGCATGTGCTCGGCTGTTCTCGGAGACACGTCGGGAGAGAGGGGACTGGGGGAAAGACATGAAAGTTACCATTGTTGGCAGACTGGTCTCAGAGATACGAAATCATTATGCGGGAACACAAGCCACTACTTTTAGACTTACCGATGAATTTAGTTTGTTTTCAATAATTAACTTTATTTGTCCGTAATAATACAACTTTGCAGGATCACTTGCATTGGATTGCTCGAGTTCTCGAACCATATTAATCATCGGCTTGTTGTCCTTCTTAAACGTGATGTCAGCTCCACTTTTAAGTAGTTTATCAACTTTCTTTAAATCCCCTTTCAAAGCAGCCTGCCATAGGTCGTTGCCTTTAAAACCAACTCTAAATGCGACTGCAAAAAATATTTAGGTATAGGATTACATACAGTCTAGGCTCTCGGGAAAATAGAAATAATTAACCTTTCATTTCAAAGAACTTCACTCTTTTATTTCACAAACATTTCCACAATTGTCTTAAAATTTGGTGTGTTAAACATCGTATGGCTATGCTTTATATCAGGAGGCATTGTGAATTTGATATTTGCATAATGTAACTGATCAGAAATTACAAGCCCGATATCGTTTATGTTTGTAGGAAAAAATAGATTGACGAGATTCTGATGCGAACTAATATAATGAGAATTTTCACAAATCTTTTTTTTCATTTATATTATAAAAGCAATAGAAATAACGTGGAAAAACTCGCCCTGATTATCATTTTCCCATTGATTATTTCTCGTTCACCTAAACTCCTGCGCGTGTTTCTAAAACTGTCATGCATGTATTATTTGAAAGCCGGAAAATGTTTTGTATTTCCTAATTGTACAAGGTGCGTTAAAGACAGGTTAAAACGTCGAACTTTTCATATGCCAAACATAGATATAGTCTTAATTTGTTTAAGTTCATTTGCATTCGACTCGCCACACGATAAGTTCCATATTTAAAACGGGCCTGAGAATATCAACAACGGACTGAATAACGGTTGCCTGTTGCTATAAAATCATAAACACAGAATTCAATCGCAAAAACAAATCTTTGCTGTGACATTTGTTACACTTTTTCTAGTTTCCAATTCGTGGAAAGCAATTTCCCCGAATATAGTACAATATAAGTACAATAATATAAATAAACAGGTGTTTGTTTGTAATAGTCCGGTCACGCCAACGTTGCGACAAAACAATCTATATAATTCATACAATATAGCAAGGTTTTGTTCAAATTTTCATGCCGTACCGGCGTATGTATTTCAAAAATACGTGGAAAATCAATGACATATATAGTTTATCCAAGCAAAATAAGTGCCGTCGGCTCAACTTGAAGCGAGTAAATAAGTTTAAATATCTACTCGTAACTATCAAATGCTGTAAACGAAAACTTGTGTAAGTGATTTAAAGTTAACTAAAACTCAACCGTTACCTGTTTAAGCATGACTGAGTGAGGCGGAAGTCAGACCTCTCTTCTCCTGACAGACTTACTGAAGAGTATACTCGCGTGCTGCTATATATAGTAAGAATGGCCTACGCTGTACAGGGGCAGGTTGTATCAAGACCGTTTATCTTAAACGGTGGATAAGTTCAAAATAGAAAGCAAGCCTACCGTTTTATTCAACAAGCGAACAAATACAAGGTACTGTTCACAACTTAATACAAGGACCTTAATACAAGGTACGGACCTTAACACAAGGTACTGTTCACCACTACATATTCAGGGCATAATATTCAAGTTGACTCATTCAAGAGAGTTTTTAGAGTGCTATGTAGTTTTGACGTATCCACCGTTTAAACTAAACGGAATTGATACAACCGGCCCCTGACCAGTTTCATTCAACACCTTGGATTATTATGGCGCTCATGTTTTCGTTTACTTTTGTAAACTTTCGTAAAATATTTCGCACAAGTCACCTCGAAAAGAGTTTCATACAATCCCTATATCAATCTGTACATGCAAATGCACATAGCAAACCGAAAATCAACAGTCAACGTTTACATTCGTGGCAAAACACCGCGAATTTATCGAAAAGTAATGCCGTGCGACACGTGAGCAAATTGTGTATACGACGTGCAACGATTCCGCACGGAAACGAAGAAGTATTCATCACTTCTCAATCGCCACCTTGCATTATCGCGAAATTCACATGCAATTTACCTTCCGCAGCCATTTCGCCTGGAAGAAATTCTTGTTTATTCACCCACTGCTATCCTTGATGTGCAAAATACTTAGTTTCGCTTTACGGAGGGGATACTGAATTATAATAAATACGAGACAACCTGCTCTGGACGTTCAGCTTGTGTGTGTTATTGAAGAATATAACACGTCTCCAAAAGTGAGTCGTTTGTACAAGCGAGGAAGAACAGCACAATACTGAAACAGTAATGTCTATATATATTGAAGAAAAATGAATGGCGACTCCGTTTGATAAAACAATAGAGACTTTAGCATGTAGGACGCGGTAACACAGTAACCGCTGCTAATAATAAAATGATAACAATGTCAATGATTCATTGAAAAGAAATGAATAATTAAAGATCTATATACAGGAACTATAAACGTCGTCCACAGACTGTTTGCAACGGCAGATCGTACCTTTTTACTCCTTGCACGTATAGGCCTAAGTCCGCATTTTAAGAAGCAGCTACGTAGCTACAGCGCTACCGCAATTTTGGGTCACATGAAGAAAAGTGTTCCCAAACACAAACTAAATATTTTAAAGCCCATTTAAACATACAGCAACTCTTTAGAATAACATTCATTCAAAGGGGGTTTCTTTCAGCTGTCCTCATATTGCGTTGCTGTTCTACCTACTTAAAGTCCTTAAAAACCGCTTAAAGAGAAGAAACTTTTTTCACGTTTAATATAGATCCAGTTCTATACGAAAGTCATTAAACACATTATCTTGATAACGAATGTAAAAAGCGCAATACTAATCCCTTTGTTTTGTAAACAACAGCTCCGAATAGCTAAAGCTGAAACCAAAGGCGAAAGAAGCGCCAGCTTCAACGTTGTCCGCACATTTTCCAGGATTCTTTGGTATCCGTATTTCTATCCGGCCTACCATGCACTACATTTTTAAGCTATTCCGTCATTTCTCTTTATCTTCTTCCATGCTCCAGTAGTGTCCAACTAACTATATTGGCGTATTTCAAACCGAATTTTTAGAACAGTCCACCGTTACAGATGTCAGATGCCACTAAAATTTGAAATTGTTCAAAGTATGATTTATGTCATCTGTTTGACTTCATCCTCTATAGTATGAAAGTGGAGGCAAAATCATGACAAGGAATCTGGTGGAGTGTAAACAAACCTTAAACAGCAAACATCTTCAAACACGTTTTTGTGTCCTTGATTTATAACAATACCGGCAGGTCTAAGTGAAGTTAACCGAAGTATACAAACTTAACGAGATTACGTGGAGATTCATGACTCACGAACTGTCATCACTTTTTTTTCTACATTGACTCGTCAAATTCAACAGAAAATCTACTGTATAATATGACTTTAAATTTTCCAAATGGTCATCCTCAAATTTTCTTAAATGCCAGTTTTATTTGCTGTCCTTTACTCCTTGACTTTCATTGATAAATTTGTACTGATCTAAATGTAATCCTAGTCTAAAAGTTTGGTTTGTTAAAGCCTTGCCTCGCATTTGTTAAATCCTGCCTCATTATGTCTACATGTATATTTCTATTATGGAAAACTGGGCCGAGGGTCGTGAAATGGCGGTTTTTATTTTCTCCAAAACCAGGGGGAACTTTGTTTTAGCAAGTTACCAATCAGCAACTGAAGTTTGTTTACATTTTCAGAAAACAATCAGAATGCAAAATTTTCACCACTTGCAGTAAAAAGGTACATATATATTAACCTTTTTAAATGAAGTATTAAAAATTTAGGCGTTCTGATTGCTTAGCTTAAAAAATGTAAACAAGTATAGGCTGATTACTTTAAAACGAAATTTCTCCTTGTTTTTTTCCTATGCTTCTGATGTAATCCTGCCTGTGATTAAGGGCCCGGTTACACGATACCGGATTAGTAGCGTACCGAATTACTTTCCATATCAGACAGGTATGGCAGTTACACGAGGTTAAATTTAAGCTACCCGGTGCGCTCCACTGAAATCAAAATCACCCCCCTCTGCTGGCTCTGCAGGTGACGTGAAAAATGATCCGGCACATTTCTGTGTCCATCTAATCCGGTATATAATATGTTTGGCGGGAAAAATAAATAGACATCAAACGCTGCGAAAGTTACCGATTCCAAACGAAGTTCTGTTTCACTAACTGTCTGTCCACGAGGTCTGTCACTGGGGCCTTCTATGTACCAAATAGCCTTAAATGGCCCTCTTTGTACCAAATATCAAATGGTTTTCTCGTTCAGGATTGCATGATCAATGCACCTGAGATATCGCTCGACTTTTGAAAGGTCGTCCTTTTTTAATTTAAATATTTCATCTCAAGATCAAGTTGTTTTTTTAATTTCAGGATGTTTTAGCATGCAACTTTAATTAGCTTCAAGCTTCAACGGCCAAATTAAAACGCTAATTTAATCGCACTTTCTGAAGCTTGAAATCAATTCCGCTGCAGTTAAGTGTTGCTGTAGCCTCAACGAGGTAGATATACTAGGTGTGGTAAATGTATTAATCATGCAGCCTATATTCCTTCAAACAATCAAGATCTTGAATGATCTACACCAATTGTAGGAAATGCTGATAAAACTTAATGCATGGATGCAATGATAGTTTTTAATTTTATCTCCCATATGAAACTAATTAATGATTTTCACTTATTATATATATCAAAACTAATTGCAAGCGATTTAATTGATAATCCCCCGAATCGCTGTGCATTTAAAATTAAAATAATAAATTAAAGTAGGTATTTGCTACTGAATTTGGCCACCTTGGGAGCGCTGTATAGACTATACACCTCACTATAAATATACGCCAACTGAGTTGGATTTTTAAAAAGGTAAGTGTATTTTGCTTTATTTTTGATATATATTTAAATATGTCTTCAATGTTCGAAATATTCTGAAATTTGTATTTGCTGACTTTGACGCTGAGGAGCATCATTCAACTTAGCTACACAAACGTTCTTAATTTAGGTTGCTACATTAACCAAATGCATTATTCTCCCGGCCATTCGTAAATGTATCTAGAATTTCGTTCAAGGCACAATAAGTACCGTCGGGTAATACGAAATGATGAGGGTTTTTTCGACCTATATTTCACTCCCGAAACAATTAAAGACTATTAACTGACTGTAGTAACGGGAAAATTGTGTTGATAAACAAAAAGCTTTCCACCACATGAAACTATTATTTCGCGAAATAATATATTGTTTAATAAAAAGCGCCAGTATTGGTTTTCATTTTAAGAAGATTAAGGTTTGACATGACATTATTATGCCAATAATATGCCAATTCTAGCATCTGCTAGAAACTGTAAATTTTGATTCCGAGCAAAAAAAGTAACACCTATGCCAAGAATAGAAAGAAAGAAAGATCGTCTTGTAAGTTGTAATTATCAGACCGAGCAAACGTTTAAATCAACCCGGACATTTCGCATTGGCGATAAAGCTCCGGCCCGATTTCGTTATGTAAAGGACACGTGATAATTAGTGCAAGCCCATAACAATGGCCAATAGCCGTTGGATACGAGCTAAAAGCGATTATTTTTCGACGCGTGATACAGCATATAACAATTATTCGCCGAATGTAAATTAAGGTAATAATAAAAATCAAATCACCGTTTTATAACATTTTTGACTTCGAAGTAATTTTAGATGAAATCATTTCGCCAGTTCGTCGTTTTATATAATAAAAACGAGTCGCCGCCATTTTGAAAAATCCACATACTTTTCTTTGTTAGGTGATTATCGCAAAATAAGCCGATGTCTCCTGACCAATCAGAAACCAGAATTTTTAATAAGCACCTTTGCAATCATACGTACTAATAATGATTTGAAGGAATAACCTAATAATTTAAAAGAATAAAAAATGTTCTCTTGTGCCGCTACTATTGAGACGTAATGATGCATTAGGAAGAATGTTGCAGAAGACTTCGCTATACCTTGCATTTTACGAAGATTTTTTTCTAGGTTTTACATTTATATAATATGGTGGAAGAAAACAAGCAACCTCTTCGCCAATTACTGGTCGATTTTATGAGCTACACAACCAGTCATGGTGTCGGCAGATTGGTAGCGTCAACGACAGTCTGGTGGAAATTATTCTGGATTGTGTCATGCCTCGGTGCTTCAATAATGTTTGCTTATCAAGTTCAGGATCTTTTCGAAATGTTCCTATCAAATCCTGTGGAAACACTTTACACCATAAAATTCGAAAGGGTAAGGTGTATATACATAGCCACATGCAGGTGAAGCATTATACGGATCGTATATAAGGACTATATTCAGACTCCCAGTAATCCTAAAAAGCGAGGTTCATTCTTTTTGTAATAATCGTAGAAGATATAGTCAACATAGCAAATGTGTTAATTTGTGAATCAATTTGTAGCAGCGGAAAGAAATTAACCGTATAACTATAACCGTGTACGTATTTCTATCCCGCTTAACCTCATTAAGTAAAAAAATTAAATATCCTTATACTCTCTATACTTCACTTGGGCGATTTCTCTCAAAATAGACTGACATTTTTACTTATTTATATATACATTATTGTGAAAGTCCTCATTTGTGGGTCTGTTCAAGGCGATAAAAATTGTTTCTTATGTCATATATCTTACCATGAATTACATTAGTTTAGTACCTCTTTTGCATTGCATGAATGCGTCGAAGCCTGTTTCCACTTTCAAGAGGTATCGCCATACAAAAACTCTTACTCTATCTAATCGTGTAAGGCTGTAAGCGGTCACCAAAATGTCTTTCAAGGTTAATTATTAGCATTCTCAGTACATTTCAGTTAATGCCCTTTTTCTCACAGAATATGAAATTTCCGGCCGTCACAATCTGCAACCTGAATATGATCAAGAGTAACAAATTACCACCTGAGCTAGACAGTCTTTTTCCGACCAAAAAAAATTCTGCATCAAAAAATATAACTGAGACGAAAACCAACGTAACTAACGGTAAGGAACATCAAGTTGTTGGTCAATGAACGTTATGTCAAGTAATCAGAAATTGATCAATCATGATTAATCATAATCAACATTTTAATAATATGAATAAGCCAATCATATCGCAAGCACCATCAACAGCATGCATCTTTTTAAGCCACTCAAAAGTTTGTTTGCATTTTAGACATAATAGGCCGTTCTGATCCCGTTAAAAGCAGTGTACTTGCGAAAATTAAAGTTTTCAAAGCGAAAATATCGTTGTTAGCATAAGCAATAGCAGACAAGGTTTAGGTTTTATTCTCGTTCTGGAATGCACCCAAAAAAGCAACTTCTCTGCAAATTTTTTTTAGCAGTGGCCCCCAATAAGTAGGGATCCATGTAGCTACAGGATTGCGGTGTATATATAGCAAATCTAATAATTTAGCTGAATTTGTGCGAAAAAAACAAAAAAGGCCTGTTAGTGCGTTTTCGTAAGACAGTATTTCCTCAAAATATTATTATTCGCGATTTGAATTGTTTATATCCAAAACTATAACAAACGCTTTGATTGGTCTAAGCCAACATTCGTTCTTGATATATAATGATACAATATTAAATTTTTAAACCGGGATTTTACCGTTTCAGGCAAGGGAAATGAAAAAAAGTCAGATAATTCCGAATTTGATCACAGCCGCCTTGTATCAGATTTACTTGAAGCGGACTTTGAGAAAACCCAGACGTACACTGAACTCGGTGAAGATTATCCAGATGAAACCCTTGTAAATAAGGAAACAAAGTTGAGAAAATCAGTCGAGTTGCTTATCGGTGGTCTAAGAGCGGAAGAATTGTACTCTAACGGTCATTCAATGGAAGATATGATCCAGGCCTGTTATTGGAAAGGATTGGACTGCAAAGATGGGTAAGGGGGATACGATTTACCCCGCTTGAGAAGATTTTATACACAGAATAATACAAGGACGCGCGAAAATATGGAATTTATTTCGAGCGTTGAGAACTTGAGAAATAAATTGCATATTTCCAAATATCCATGTATTCAGTTTGCTCTCAATATATAGTAATTCTCCATAAAGATCTTATGAATCATTAATTCATATATTAACTTTGATACAACTAATCTTAATTAGTATTCAAACTCTGTTACACACATGCCCTAATATGCATTAAGCCTAATTTATTCAGCTCATGATCACAAGCACGTAATACGCTCGTATTTAACTAGTACTTAGAAAATGTTTTGAAGAGTTAATTATATATATGACCGCACAAATGGAAATATATCTCATTTTTAATCCTTTTACATGATATCAAATGTGCAGGAATTATAGCACACTCTGGGAACAAAGTTGGAATCACAAATATGGAAATTGTTTCACTTTTAACAATGGCAATGATCCAAATCGAGTCTTACAAGCAACCAAACCAGGCCCATCGCAAGGTATATATATAATATATTCCTCATGCAGGAACGTTATGAATTATAAGAGTAATTGATGGAAATTAAACAAATGAATGTCAAAACATGCAGTTTTTATATATCGTCAAAACCACGTTTACCCAATGAAAAAACCTTACATTTTTTTCTGGACCTGTATCTACATCCTAAATTCCTTCATTTAGCAAAATTATAGCAGATTATTTCTTTTCCAACTTATTTAAAATAACTTGCGAATGAAGTTTGATTGCCTAAAATAATTGGAGTCAATGATTGGAAAATGTGCTGGTTAGTTTTGTTGAAATTAATACGGTTACTTTACATTTTATTCATACCTAAACCCTTTTATGGTATTCTAAAATATGCGTTAATTTGGACGTTAATTTAACCTACTTAAAAAACATTCAAATTCCGTGCAAAATTCAGTCGGAAAAGGCAACCGACTGACCCAAGTTAGAAATTGTATTTTGTTTTCTTTCGTAACTATATTGCGGATAGAAATTTAAACAATTGACCGAAGAAATTTACGCTGGAGACACTATACTTCGTGAATGTTGGCGCGATAATAATTTTTTTCTTATTCAATTGCTCAGGTTTGGTGTTGGAACTTAATGTTGAAGAAGATTTCTATATTGGTCTACTCTCAAAGCAAGCTGGAATTCGGGTCGTTGTTCATGACCATGGAGTTATGCCTTTTCCTCATGAAGAAGGCTTTAGTGTTTCTCCAGGGACTAGTACTGAAGTTGCACTAACAAAGGTAAGACGGGTATGGCAAAATCAACCATATTTAGGCGTTAGTGGCTTTTTTAATAACTTTAATACACAATATATTTTATAAATTAACGCTATTTAATTCAAGAACGATTCAATACGGCCCATACAGTCCCCATTTTTTTAATCTGAACATTCTGTTTTTTAAGTCTTTTATCGAAAGGCTGGACAGATTTAGTAACGGAAGCTGTGTTTCCGACCCTACGCCTTCCCCGAAAAACATCTACAAAATATATCAAAATATCACGCGCTACTCCAAGCAGGTATGAAAAAAAAATACGTTGACTTTAACTGAAAATGAATTATTATTATGATGTTACGATATGGGAGCACGTTTATAACAATGGTTTCTGTGTAACCAACTGTGTAACCATATTTAGTGATTTAATAAAACAGGTTTGCAAGTATATGCTTAAATGTGAACCCGAATAAACAATTCGGAAATGCTCTCAAAACATTTTACTTTAGAGTTTAGAATATAGCTCCTGATACACTTCTGTAGTTTCGTGGTTTAAAAACAAGAAAAGCGCATGCAATAATAAAAACATTTTAGCTAGCCTTTGGATACATATATCTTTCCCCCCTTGTACCCCTTCCTCTTATTCCGTTCCTCCTCTCATTGTAACCTTTCTCTAATTGTATCCCTACTCTCATTCTATTCCTTCTCCCATTCTACCCCTTCTCTCATTCTATCCCCCCACCCACTCTAGCTTACTATCCTTTCTCCCATTTTATCCCTTCTCCCATTCCATCCCTCCTTCTATTGTATCCCTTTTCCCATTCTATCCCTCCTCGAATTCTATACCTCCTCCCATTCCATCCCTTCTCCCATTCTATCCCTTCTCCCATTCTATCCCTTCTCCTATTGTATACCCCCCTGGCCCCCTCCCATTTGTTAGACTTCCCTATCCTTCAGAGGCTGATGAAAACCAGGTTACAAGAATTATATTAATTCTTATTACCTTAAAAAGTATCTTCCATAATCTACTTCGGCATCATAATATATATTTTGAAGCTCTTCCAATAAAATTATTTCCCTCCATTGTTTTTCTCCTTAGCGATGGATTTGATCAATCTTTATCCTTAGAAGGGTCTGGACAAACCATTGTTTTCATACCATCCATTTGAATGCAGCTGTTTTTTAAAATAAAAAAAGGATATTGAGATATTAATATTCCTGTCGTTATTATTTATTTAGTCGGTCTCTGAGAGTACTTTTAAATAATTTCATTTCATCAGCTCACACCTCCCTCTCTCACTCTCCCTCATATTCAGGGAAAACACAATCAAGCGAGGGTTCGGTTTTTTGAAATTAGAAGCTGAAAGGCAAATTTAATTTTTATTGCATAGTCTATAAGAGAAGAATGCAAACGCAGCTTTCAGCAAAAATATCACTGCAATGTTTAGTTTTGTTGTTTTACACAGCGACATTCTTTTTCAGTGAAGAACAGCGCAATGGATTGATAATAAATTTGGGCCTGTTTACATGGAGCAAATTCACACGGCTAGGCGAGGTAAAAGCACATCACATCAAAGGCTTAACCTGATTAGCCTTTTATTATATGCACCTCGCCTAGCCGGGATAACTCGCTTCTTGTAAACAGACCCTTAGTAGTAAAGGTTCGATTTAACTCTAACTTTAAACCTGCAGGCATGCATAAATTCTTGTCTTGGTCAGAGTCAACTGTATACATGTGGTTGTTCTGAGTCAACTTTCCCCTCAGGAAGAATTCCTTGTGATAGCTTCAAAACAAAGGATAGTAAGTACTAATTTGCTTTTAATTATACCTTTTCTTTTATCTCTAATGTTACGTTTTTAGACACGAGTCCTATTACTAGTGCGCTAATTTAAAATTCGAGACGAAATGTCTCTGAATGTTCAAATAAATCATCAAAAAAAACTTTTGTTCAAATAAAACTTCAAAAAATTATAGTTTTAGTAATATAGAAATTAATAACTTCATTCATGCTACGCAAATCGACCTTTAGGTTTTGTTTGCGTCGAATACAATTCAGAGAAAAGATGAGATGATAAACCTCATTTAGCTTCATTGCCATCTTGACGTAAAAAATGGAGGTTTCCTTCTTGAAATCAATAAGGCATAAACGGCCATTTTGGGGGGTACTTTCAACTTTCCTAAATGGGTTCAATTTTGTCTTATATGATTACGCTCTAAGGTATACACGTCATCAAATATGGCGACCATATTCGTTGTTTTGGAAACACTAATTCAAAATTAAAAAGTAAATCTCATGCCACCAGAAGATTTGTGTTTCATTAACACTTATACTTTTTGTTAAAAGGGAGATGCCTTCGAGTATTAAAGCACCTTTACAACACCGATCAACTGAAATGCCTTACGAAGTGCAAGAGAAAATGCACGTGAGTACTTAGATGTCTTTTTACAGGGTTGAAGTGCCCACTATCAAAATAACATAAAAGTGCCCACTATCAAAATAAGACCTTAATTGTTGTGATCATTAATTACATATGCATCATGTGATCATGTTATTAACCTGCAAACAGCAATACAAAGACGCATAGGGAAAAATGTTATACAAGTAAGAATGGTTTAAATGATTACAGAATAAGGAACCATTGTAAAATCCTTTTATTACTTTATTTCGTCGTGTTATGTTACTTGGCCGATCCGGCTCTGTATATAGTCAATCGGGAAGTTAGGGGTTGTTTACATGATCCCGTTTAGTCGAGATTCAAAGAAAAGTGAGGTGACTTTGAGGTATTGAAATGAGCATATATCACGACTCTGCATGAATGCACTCACTCCGACAATAGGATCTGCTTGTTTGATGTCATAAACACTTATTTCAATACTTCGATATCTCCCGTTTCGTCGAATCTCGGCTAAGCAGGATCATGTAAACAGCCCCTTATATGTACTCTGCCATTCATTTAATCCCATATGCCTTGTGTAAAACAGCTTTCTGATTGACTCCTTGTATCATGAATATGTTATAACGCTATATATAATTCTCATGGGATGTGAGATCAGGGGAACGGGTGTGTCATACGCACAGCCGAGCACTTGACTCCGGTCATGCAGATTTCCTATAGACGGCTGCGCAACACAACACTACTTCCATGTGTGTATACTTATAGGGAAGACGTCTATCACAAGACGATAAGTTCATCAAGATGGCCTTCAAAATCATTTAAGGTAAGTACATAAGATTCTGAAGATTACAACGCCATTAATTAAACAAGTTTGTCGTGACATATATATTTCGCTTGCGATCAGTAAGTCTGACTCAGTCCAGTGGCCGCGGTGGACAGTTCAGTGGGGGAGGGCAAATAATTATATATTCATGTTAACCGATCGTAAAAAAAATCAATTAAAAAAAAACAATAATGAACGCGAAAACAGATTGAAATTTTTTATCCTCTAGGGCGCTATACCTTACTCCTGATCACATGTGTTATTATCACTTTTAACAGTAGGCTGAATTTTTTCGATCGAACAAATTTTTTTTTGCCTGAATGATTTGATCAGCCTAGTGGAAAACCGCCTTTAATTAATGCATGCCTTCAATCATGAGGACGAGTAAAAAGCGTTTTCCTACAGAAAATTAGTTAACGATGGACATATTGTTGTCTAAAAGCTAATTAATTTTTTTTCTCATTCCTTTAGTCATATTTGGAATCACAGAACCTGAGCATTGAAAGGTACACTGAAGTACAAATGACTTTTTAACAGCATCAACAGGCCAAAATTGTTGATTACAGGTCATTTTCGAAAGCGCTGCCCAAATTTGTTTCTAAATTCCTAAGTACGATGAAAGGTCTCGGCAGTAAAGCGCCGCCTGAATCTCATTGAGTTACTGCACGTTGCCGCAGAATACCTATCAGAAGAATAACTCTATACTATTTTCTCGTAAGTGTGATTCGTCATGATTCGTCACTTAGCAAGCCGCATTTTTTTGAGGTAGTCACCCCACTGCCAAAATTTAGCAATATGGCGCGCGCAATATTGCTAAATTTTGCCAGGGGGGTGACTGCCTTAATTTAATGCACTTGCTAAGTGACGAATCATGACGAATCACACTTACGAAAAAAGTACAGGAGTTCTACTTCTGATAGGTATTCTGTGACGTTGCTGTTAAACTCCAGCTTAAAAGAACAAGGGGCAATTTCGTTTTAGACTTCTAGTTTCTTTACATTTCCAATAATCCAATCAGAATGCATAATTACTATATATATAACTATATTTAACTATATATATACTTCCGGTAAAAAGGTGGCTTTGCTTAAAAAAGGTAAACAAATAAGTCGATTAGTTTCAATCGTAATTCATCTTTGTTGTTTAAAAGGCTAAAAGCCTTACAATAATGTACTAGTGTACATGATATTATATTTATGCAGTAAGCCTTAAGCCTGGTTTTTATATGTCGAAATTTATCGGCGATGGCTATTGTCGGTGCTCACGATGCTTAACATCCTTTGTCTATTGAAGAAAATTATACTAATACTTCATTGATCACCGACAATACGTCGCTGATTGATGTATTACGACATATGAAAACCAGGCCTTAAAGCCAGTTTCACCCTTGTCCTAAGAATCAGGGATCCATTGTATTTTGCGCACCATGGAGTGATCTCTGACAAAGGGAATCCAAGAGTCGTCCAAAAAATGGGAACCAGGCCTTAAGCCTGTACTATAAGCCCCGTTTACACTACAGTGAATTTATCGGCACGGCACAGCTAAAGTGCATGGCACCTGTGCTCAATTTTATTAGTGCTCAGGCTACCAAAACAAAGGCCGGGCACGGATGAAATGGGCACGGGTACCCATTTTAGCTGTGCCGTGCCAATAAATCAAGTATATTGTATTCGGGGCTGTAAGCTCTGATCCAACATTAGAAAGGTATTTGGGTTACACGACGATTTCTTTGATGTCCCACGTATGATACGTGCATGACGAACACTGGTGCACTTCGCACGCACACAGATCACTCGTGAAAATTTATTCCTATACGTATTCCTGATCTTGGTAAGCAGGTAAAAATTGAGATATTTTGAGATAATTTTACAGCACGAATGACAGAATGTATGCCAAAATTGTTACAACTGACATGTACGCATGCGTGCAAAGTGCCCTAATTTGCACAAATTCCCCCCCCCGTCTCCTGGGCTTTACGTAAATTTAGAATAGACACTTCCCGAATTTGCTTGAGTGCACACAAAACAATAGCTTGAAAACGAGGCGGGCAATGAAATCTATTGTTTTTGGATGGTTTTCATTGCCTGAGAACAAATTCTGGAAGTGTCCATTTATTCTGATTTCTGACACGATTTAAGAGCGTGCTTGGCTATGAAAAGTGACTCAAAATGACCTAACATCAGTCATCACGAATGCATGGGAAATTAAGTGTGCCTAATTCGTGGGTGTTTATTCTTTCTTTCTTAGCGGAACGTTGACCCTGAGCGTATTTTACAGTGACCTAAACTATGAGAAAATCGAGGAGAAGTTTTCTTACGGGGTAATGACAATCACAATATAATAATATATTAGTTATTTCTTCCAGTAAACTAAAATCACATGCCGTTTTGTGCGAAGGTATTATATAGATATACCAGATTATTTTTGGTTAACAATAAGCGTTTAACAGATTATATTCGTTGTCTTTAGAATCTGTTAACATTGTCGGAAGTAGCTAGGGTGACCTGTAGGCTGAACCGGAAGTGAAATGAGCGAGGGTCTTCTGAGAATAAGAGCGAATAGTTAGAACGGCGTGGGTCAAATTTGTGTGAACAGTTTGTGAGAATTATCGAGAATATAGGACCTTTATACTGGAACTTTAACCGTGTTTGTGAATTATTGTGACCGTGGGGGGGGGGGCCTCAACAACGTTCCCCACAACATGAATATATATAAATATGCCCCCCCCAATTATCGATGCCAGCTTCGCCACTACCGTTTAAAACAAGCTTTAGTGACCCTAGCGCTAGTGTACCTCAATTTCATACACCCTGTAGTGTCATAGTGGTTTTGCGACTTTTGTCAGCACAAATCTATAAGATAGCCATGATGCGTGATGGAACTTGTATAGACTACAGTGCATACCGGGTTTTATTCACTGTGGTTAGTTGACGAAGCCAAATACATGCAGTAATATAAAACGATTTACGATTAGTCTATAGCCAGCATCGCTGATGTATTTGAGAGTTTCGATGAGTTTTATGCAAACATACAACTTCCTGGCAACGTCTAAGCGTTTCATATACGTCGGAATCAAATATTTTGCCTTCGGCTTTGAGACACTAAAGACATAGTATTTTCCACCCGAAAACCTCGTTGCCGTTGGCAGCACCTGTTCGGCTAGTAAAAGATAACAGTTAGATTAAGGTAATAATTCCACGCACCTGTTTATTACATTTCGATTCGAAGTCAAGTGACCATGCCAATAGCCCTTCATTCAAAATTCGCTCAAATTTCATTTCAATTGTCTGATAAACATATCAAACATGATTATAGTCGAAGTACTTCCTGAAATCATCCTGGAAGTTTAGTCTAAGAGCAAAATCTTGCAACATTTCGTGTTATTTCAAGATATTCTGCAATGGACTTCACGTCTTTGCCTTTGGTCATACACGAGGAAGCCACACAGGGTGTTAAAAGAGTGCAATAATTTGCATAAATGGTAATGCAAAATGCAACTGGCAATTCAATGCCAGTGCAACTCGTTAATTATACTTCTGGGATTTAAAAATACGTTTTATAAACCTTTATTCCTTGTTATTCGAATAACTACACTGGTCAAGTTCTAACAGTACGAGCTTCGACATCCCGAGCAAAATTATTGTATATTACGCACCCTTGCATGGCATCAATCAGTTTAGATTCTGTACTTTTTTATATCCAATTTCAAAAATGTTTGCCGTTTTCTGATACACCACGTACCAAGCTGCATTTACATAAGTGTAAAACTGCTTTATTACTATTAGGCTATGGCTATGACACCACATTATGCATATAAAGAAATTAGGCACATGCAATCACCCTAAACTACGGCATTTTTTCATTTTAGACCACAAACCTTCTTGCAGATATTGGTGGACAGTTAGGATTATGGATTGGAATATCTGTTCTTACGGTTTGTGAGCTGTTGGAACTGATATTGAAGCTCGTATCACTGGCATATGCCAAGTTCAAGATTCGCAATGATGATAAACGTGTTAATATGGAGTAGTTCATGCAATAAGGCTAGTTTCCACTCAGGAAAATTCTCCTTTGGATCGGACAGGAATGAAAAGTTTCCATTGTATAAACGCCGCCTGAGAACTCACCGACAAAGGAAATTTTCCTGTCCGTTCCGATCCAAAGGAGATTTTTCCTGAGTGGAAACAAACCTATAGTGGTACCTAGATTTTAGTCTGTGTGTTTTTAGTCTAATAGTGAAAGTTTTTGTCACAATTTACCAGTCTGTTTCAGCAATATCCTATGAAATACACTGCGACCTACACTTTCAGATGAAATCCTATTTAGAATGACTCTTCAGTACTAAAGGCTTTAGCGCACCAAAGGTAATGATGTACTTCCTGACATGAAATGCAAATTTCAGGCGGACTCTTGTTAAAACCATGACGGGACGAGATCTTCAATTGAATTCGACGATTCAATTTTTGGAATAAACCGGTACGCGAAAAATATGATTCGAACAAAAGCTAATTATGATTAATTAAACGTCTTGCAAAGCTCAGTGCAACTTTTAAGGGTCTGAAATTAAAAGACGGTTTTGCATTTCTAGTCCGAGGTATTTTCTGTCGTAGAAGTCTACAAACATATCGCTGTTTTAGTTTTTACATTGCTCGCCAATGTGACGCCGGAATGTCTAGTCTTAGTGTCGGCCTAAATATTGTTGCAACTTAAATGTCCAGACAAGCTGGCGCCAACGCAAGCAATGGCTTCTAAAGCCTGGTTTCCATATGACGCCGACCTGTCGCCGACTCATTGTCTGTAATCATCCATGGAGAAAATGATTTCAGAAAGACAAAAGATTTCACTCATCAATAATCACCGACAATAATACTTTACCGACGTCGGCGTCATATGGAAACCAGGCTTAAAAATGTATCAAAAGTAAACTTACTTGCAAACTTACTTCGCATATGTGAATATTGTAACCGTTTTAAAAAATATTTGTATATATATAACCTTGAATTGTAAATACGTTTACATGTAATTGTTCTGAAAATGTTGTAAACAGTACAACGCGATGTTGTAAACAGTGCAACGCGATGTAATTTCGGGCTTCTGCGTTTGACGTTTATGCTTTTGCGTATAGCGACTTGAATTTTTCATTGTAAATTAGTTTTACATTTAGTGGATAAGGTTTACAGTATAGTGAAAAACAGTCCTTACCACAGTTATACACTTTTGATATTAGCTATATATTTTTAATGTAGGTATAACGTAAACGTTATATAACTTTCATGCAGGGAATCAATATTAAATATTAACATACAAACGTACAATTTGACGCATTTAATACTATAATTTAAACCAAAAGGCAATTAAAAGATTATAATCACCAGATGTTCAAATGATGCTGTTACAAACGATACGACTTTCAATGGTTTCTACCATAACAAATTACCCACACTTAATCCTTTGGTTAACAATATTATTTTCCGATGGTAAACTGACCATATTTATATTTAAAGCAACAACTAGTCCGAACCGAAACTCAACATATCTTAACTTTATATATACTGTATAGTTTCTCAAAAATATCAACTTTAAATTTATCCGACGATATTACTCTATAACAGTTACAGTAGCCACTGGTAATGTTTCAAGAAATAAGATGGCAATGACAGAAGAACACATCGCCTACTTTTTAAAATCTCTTAAGAAGCAGCTTCACCACTGAGCGATTCTGGTTGTTTATTTTCGACCAAGGTTTCACTATTAGCTGAAACATCACTTGTTGTCTCTGGTGTCACCTCCCCATCTTTACCTTCCCCCTCCTCTTCGCCATCTTTCTTCTCCTTCTTAGCACTGCCATCGGCGAGCCCGCTGTCCTCCCGTCTTCTCTTGAATCGTGCGCCCCGACCGTAACGGCCACGGAATTTCGAAGCGGGAATGGGATCAATGCCAAGCACTTTGTGCAGCTGTCGGAACGCGTGCAAACGGAGGTAGTTCTAACAAAACAAAGCAGACGATGATTAACCGCCTGAAATTGACTAAGGGCGGTACCGAAATAAGCCAGGAAGATCCATTAAACGAACTTAAAAGAATGAAACGTGAAAATCCTAAATGTAGCAATGGTACCTGTGCATCACAAATAGTATTTCTTCTCATCATGCTTCTGTTAAAACCTGTGCAGAATTCTACCTACCTGTGCAGTCGATGTGATATCCTCGCGTTCTTGAGCGGTCATTTCGGCGGAAGCATCGGTCACTTCTTTTTCGCATGGATCGTGTAAACCAGGACCGCCTAGAAAACGAATGATAGTATTTTCTCATGTACTTAGCACTTTAATTTAAGAAATCTGCGCATTGTTGTAAATGAGTATCCGTGTGTAAAAATAATGGAGAGTTAGGTAAAACCAAGAGAGCAAGAAAAGTAAATCCCTTTTGAATTTTTTAAAACGTTTTAACAGGATGGCCCATAAGTTTACTTTTTCGTGCTTACCTGGCAAAAGAACACCAGAAGAAATACACTCCAACACACGACGGAATGCTTCACCAGGACCCAGAGGATAATCTGCACTGCTTAGACATTTTTCAACCAACAATTCCAACGCCTAAACGTATTGAAATGCGATTAGATTTTAGCAGCAGACTTGTTTAAATACATTTACTGTACAATATCAACTTACCCAGCTGCTCAACGGAACGAAGACTGGTAATCGATCGCGCATATCGCGCAGAATTCGGATGATCACAACACAAGATGGTACGCCGTTCGCCTTAGCCTAAAAAACATGAGACACTTTTTGTAAAAGAGATGCCTAGGCCAAACTGCCTGCACACAGACCACGTGCCTAAATTCCGACATAAACATTCCAAACGTCACAACAACAATACTCTAGATGGTATCCTAAGAACAATGTCATAACTCTAATCAAATTGGCATATGTTACATGTTCCAACAAATGGCAACAATGATATTTTTTAAAGGAATTCAGTTTATGCACATTGTCTGTGGCAAGCATTTTACACACAAAATGAAGCTAACATACGTAAACATATTGTGTGCTTTATCTACAAAGGGAAACTACAAGTACAATGGAACTCAAAAAGGCAAACAGCATCGTAACATAACACTCAGCCTTCGCGAAGTCGTAAGAAAACCGATGCACGTCTTTGTCCGGCGATCTTCGTCGCAATTTATTGCAATTTTTTCATTTCGATTGATTATTAACGTTGCTTCTCGAATAAAAAAAATGCCGAAATAAAAACGATGGACGTTTCTGCAAAAAATCATAGTTCAACGACATTCACCTGTCAAAGCAAACGAGCAACCGTGCTTCGTACGTCGGCGATATTAATTTCTCACGCGTTATGCGCAAATTTATTTCCTCAGACTCATTAAATCAGTTTATTTTTTCCTCCACGGACAATGTCAGGAATAAATAAAATCATCATTGGAAACAAATCGTGCTACTGAACGCACTTAGTAGCATTGCGTCACGTATACGATGCAGTTTACCTAATACTACATGAAGTAGAAGTCGAACCTGGAACCATTTAGCATGACGTAGGGATGCCAATGCCTCCAGACATTTGTCTCGATCCAATACATCTTTTTGTTCTTCCGCTAAATCAGAGTGAACTGGGTCAGGAGTTGGCGAGGACGTGTTTGACCGCACGAGACGTATTCACGTGTGCAACATCAAGTATTATTGGTGTGCAACACAGAAACGGTCTTTGATGCTCCACGGAAAATTGCAGTGAAAAGAAATGTTTTAAAACCGAAGATAAAACCGATAAAATCCTGACGAATCGTTCTATGTAATTTTTATCTCTGTGATTCTTAGTTATTTTAACAATTTGAGAGCAAATGAAAAGAAAAATGCTAATTGTTGCGAACACTATCGCAGCTATCTTAACTAAAAATGCAAAATGAAAACATACATGTATTATTAACTGGGTAATTTTTAGTACAGCAAACTTGAATCAGGTAAATGCTACAAAAAATCTCAATTTAAAGAGCTTAAATATAAACAATTTAGTATAAATATACGCCACGAGTTTAGTCCAAAGTGCGAGACCAAAAATTATAATGTTTTTTAAACATTTTATTTTTATTGCCATCAACGATAACCCATTGGGAAAGTTTTGTACTGACTATTATGATCGACCCTACTTGTTACGAAATTATCGCAGGCGTGACTTTCATTGATTGTATACAATACATGTATGTACATATTAATGGAGCATCAAAAACTATGGGTCAAATCTCCTTCCAATACCCTCTCCTGTATCTCTGAGGAACAATATCAATCATATTCACTAACAAAAGATACTGTTGCAGAATATCACAACAGCAAAAGAACAAAAGATTAGCATATCAAGTCATAATAAACCAATTGTAGGCTATACAATTTTGATCCCTCCCTCGTAGAAAAAAGCGCATTGATTGAAAGTGCCTTTGAAAATCGAGGAAAAATTAGGCACGGTCGAGATTTTCGCTCTTTTTTGCATGAAAAAGTTACCTTGATTATTTTTGACTTTAAGAACTTTTTCCCAAAATCAGCATTCGATCCAGTCTCTGGACTTACCTTTACAACACCCGTGTGCATATCAGGATATTTTAATAACATGATTAAAAATTATAAACTGACACGTAAAAAACATACCATACGAATTTGAGCGTTTGCTGACAACAAAAAAATTTCATACTTTTTTTACACTTAGGGCAGAATTTGAAAGACAGAATTTGAAATTTTAAATGGCAGAAATTGAAATTTTAAATATTGAATAAAGTATAATAACCTGGAAGAATTATCAAAACTTGAGAAACACCAGTTTATAATTTTTTTCGAAAGCTCAGACAAGTTACGGTGCAAGGTGCAATGTGAGAAAATCTGGGAAAACATAAAGTTACCTTGTGCTACATCAGCCTCGTCTCTCATCACAGGGGACGTTAACGTGATAAGGACAGTGATCTTTGGATCTTTTGTGCTGGCAACTGTAATCTGGCAATTTTCCACGACTACGTCGTACTTTTCGTCACTAACTTTCTGTTATGAAAGAAAATGTAAGGCAGCAATATAAGACTTTTTTATCAACTATTTCAAACGAGAAGACAGGCCATACAATTTACACAATGCAGATATGAATATAGCATTTTAAGCAAGTCACAATCCTTCATCAACAAAATCCTAAACAGTAGCACAGTACAGTATATACACGCTAACATGTCGCTAACCTTTTATCACTAACTAGCTAAATATTTAAAATACTATATTACACTCCAGGAGAAATCGCTTTTCGATAAAAAATTTTACGTGAAAGCATATCTTACCGTTAACTGATCAGGAAGTTTCGTCGACACTCGTTCAAGAAGTTGCACTGTTGGTCGATCTGCACATTAAATGAATGAACAAATTTTGTCAAAATTTGATGCTGAAATTTCCACACCCTTATAATACACGTTGGGCTCTTGCAATGCGAGAAAAGCGTTCGCAATGATACCGAAACCAAACTTCGCTAGGCCGAGACTTATGCAACCGATTGCTGGCCACAGTACGAGCCTAAAGACTATTCTGATATCATAGACCAAATTACAGCTCGAAGTCCTGCACACGATATCAGTTGTATTCCTTGTTCGCTTGTTTTACAGGTCCATAATAAATCGTGGAAGGAAGCACATAGAAACCATGCAAGAGATCATTTCAGTCCAACCATGCAGAATACATATCATATATTGTTCAATTATTACCTTGACATAAAACAACAAGTTGCACGTCAAGTCTTTCATGAAGCAGTAGACCTTTCGCAAGGACGCCAACACGCATAACACCTTTTAAGGTTCCTAAGATAAGAAGTAATGTGTGGACGATAAACATTCGAAATTGCGATTCTTCGTTAGAAATAAATAATTTTAAGCCATATTCTTTGTACAGCTAATGGTCGTGGTATGCCAAATCAAAGTATTATTTCTGAAAATTCAACTCGGGTTAAATAAAAAAATCACCCTAAAAATTGGCCGTTGCTCGGTATAACCTTGACTAAACCTTACTGCTCTTAAATTCAGGGTCCTCTTTCATAATTGTTCGCTAAAAATCTGTAATTTCATTGTTTTTTAAGTATGTTTATAACGGTTGAAAAAACACACACACAATCTCAACATTCGTACAACCGACTCCAGTAATTCAATGCGACAACAGACTACAGTAAACCTCAATAGTTTTAAAGGGTCAGAAAGAACCACGCGCTAAATACTAACTTGGTGCTTGTTCAGTTTTTTCCTTCAGCTTAGGAGTTGCGGATTTTTTCGTTTCATCATCCTTTTTCTCGTCTGTTTCCTCGCTTGTTTTCTCATCACTTTCCCCGACAGCCTTCTCTTCCTCGGGCTTTTCTTCACTACCTTTCTCCTCTTTCACCGTCGTTTTTTCTTCAGCTGGCGGCGCTTCGGTCACCTCCATGTTTTCGTCCTTAACTTCTACTTTACAGACGAGCGGCGCTTCTTCCTCCGCGATGCTGTCAGAAACGAGCTTCAACGCTTTCTCCACCGCAGAAACGATGCTCTGAACGGCGCTGAGTTCTTGCTCATTCGGATAGATTTGTTTATGTTTAGCCATGACCATACGATCATCCTGACTGTCCTGTCGTGGTCGAGGCATGTTTGGCGGCGGATACTAAACGCGGAAAAAAGAGAATAAAGAAATTCTTCAATTAACGCATTCCATCCTGTTTGTACATCACAAAAAGGCTGGGATTCGATTGAAGAACACGTTTTGGGACAACATACGGACTACAAAGTCACAAAAACACAATTAAATCCTATATGTAACAGACAAATAGCATTTTGGACGAACTTTTTGCCAATTACACAAGGATATCGATAGTAAAACCAGGAAGATTGCAAAGTTTGGATGCAAGATGTTGTGAAGTTTGCTTATAAAACTTCGTATAGCGTACAGAATTCGCTACCATTTTCAGTCAAAATGTGGTAATAATATTGGTGCGTATTGAAGACTGAAGTATACGATATTTGTTAACTTTAAGAGGCTCTATTCCCGCACTGGTTTTACAACAATTCCTAACAAATTTGGCTAAATTAATAAACTCAACAGGTTGCGTTTAGGAATACAATGTTTTGATCAAGATAATAAATCAGTTTATAATACACAAACAGTGGAGAAAATGCTGATCTTACCATATCACCATAATCAGGACGTGGAGGTCCCATCCTATGACCCCAATCCACTCCATGACGGTGGCTTTCATGTTCATCCCACATTCTCTCTTCCTCTTCCAATCTCCGCCAATATTCCTCTTCGCCCCACCTAAGGATGGCAATAGCAAACAATTATTGGATGAGGTTGAGCGTGATATTGAGAATTATCAAGCCAGAGGTTGGCACTGGTCACCTTAACTAACATTATTATTCAAGCTTCAAAGTAGAATAATTTCAAAACCTCAGTGCATGCTTTAAGTCCGCTCGCCTCCATTTATTTTATAAATTGACAACAATTTATCATTGTTTAAATATATTCAAAGCCTTATTCTTCATCACTTTCGTCATAAATGTCTGAACATCATGTGCAAGAAACGGTGGCAAACCTCGCCATTATTTGTATGTATATAAAAATGTGTAAATATAACCACCAACAACAAAAACTGCTTTTCAACCCTGCCACATATTAATTCCCGCAAATTGCAGGCTATTACTAATAAATCCTACATACGTATGTAGATGAAATGATGAATTAGCTACATGTAAGTGACAAAAGCACACCTTCTGACTTCTTCATTCCTCCAAGCAGCTTCTTGTTGTCTCCAGTACATATCCTGTTCCCATCTTCGTCTTGCCTTGTCATCCATCAGAGAGCGTGGCTGAGGTGGCTGCCTGTTTCTTGCACTAGGCTTTTGATCCACAACAAAATCAGGTTGGACTTTCTTCTATGAAGAAAAATAAGGTAAATATGACACTCACAAAAGAACAGAAATTAAAATTTATGCAGGAATGCGTGGAAAAAAAATTATGCAGGAATGTGCGGAAAAACAAAAATATTGCATATTTCGATATTGGCTGAAACTGATTTCTTATCTATACAAGTATAGAGAATGATTATGCTTTGGTTGTATATATTACAGGATACTTATTTTTTGACAATCATATATTTGGTGGATCCATGTCAAAAATAGAATATATGTATGTAGCTTTGATATGGAGATGAGCTGGGCCCACAGTATCAGAAATATGATGAGCACACTATACAGTCTATACTACCAAAACAATTAGCTTTGCATTAACTTGCTTTAGGGAATATTATGCATGACCTCATGTACCAAAGTACACTTGAGAACAATACCTTATATGCCAACTGGTGCCTTCTTCCTTTCAAATGAGCTTCTCTTGCCAGAGTGTCATTAAACTTGCACTCGCATAGCTTGCATTCAAACCCAATGACTTTACCAGCATCAGACTTTACTTCTTCAATATAGTCTTCACCTGCAAAAAACAGCATTTTATATTAAAAACCCCTTTCTGGAAGTAACTATTACTCTAGTTATATGCAAACATGCCAGTTAACAGTTTTTCAAATGAAAGAATACCAGGTAGTGTCACTGAACTTAAGCTCAATCAAACTTCAATACATTTTGCCTTAACAACCTCTTTTTTCCGTTTAATAAGTGTTTTGAGACAGTTTATAGCTTTCACGCCTAACTGCCTCATCCTAAAGTGTTAAGCTTCTGTTATTTTACACCCAAAGAAAAAAATGGTCCATATTGAACAGAGAAAACACTGTAAATTACTGGATTGTTAACTTACCAACAAATTTAATATCCTTTCCTTCTTCAGACCCAGTCGTGTCTCCTTTTTTTCCACCTTCGTCAGGCATAGTGGCCGACACATCAGCATCCTGTGCCTCAGAGGTAACTGCAGAGGTTGTTGCCGTTTCTCCAGGTGTGGAATTCAATGTTGCCCCACCAATGAATGTTATTTTAGGCGCAGACGGCTTTCTGTTTCTACGTTGATTGTTTCTGAAGGAAGGTTTTGGTGTCTGTGTCTTAACAATGCCATCTTTTTTCTTGTCTTTATCTTGATCCTCAGCTGAAAGTACCTCTGGTATTGGCTTACCAAGCTTTTCATGAAGCTTTACAGTCTGAAATAGGAAAACTATGGCATTAAAATTTATTTGTTTGGGGTCAAGACAGTGTACCTAAATGCAGATAGTAGCTAGCGCTTGGATCCTCCCTGCTTGAATTACTATGCATGACTCGCAATGGCAAGCTGCAAGGGTTTTTATCCAATGAAAATGCTTTTAGGTCGATTTTAATTACACACAAGCACCCAAAATCAAAAGATAACCTACACCCACACAAACTCGAAAAGAGTATATGTCTCATTTTCGCATTATGTTAAACTGGGGAAGAGTAAGCATTAGTAAAATGACTTCATAATACTTGTCCAAATAGTACAACAAGTTCCCTCAGATTAAATCAGTTATTGTTTTGCCCTCACATTGTCAGTCAGGAGAAATCCATCATCACTGGGAACCCATTTTGAACTATCACGAATCAGTTGATACATTAAATGACAGGTAAAGATTTCATGAAAATAGCCTATTCCATGGACGAAGTTAGTATTGCATGGGGGATTGCAGGCCATAATCATAAAACAACACAGCAATATATTATATATGGACTCGAACCCTTGCCTTTTTGATATAAAATCATTCAAAACAAGTATGAATGACAGAGTTTTGAACCAACCTTCAAGTGTTTGGCTCCCTTGAGATGAGCATTAAAAGCATCAGTTCCAGTGCAAGTCACATCACATAGACTGCATCTGTAACCATCAGGTCCAGCTGCCTCCATTTGTTTTTGAGCTGCTTCCTTCTTCTTATGTTTCTGACCTTCCAAATGCTCCTTGTATGTCTATAAAAATTGGCCAACCTATTGATTTAGTGCTACTGTAAACATCACAAACAAACAGATTGCTTAGTCAAAACTAACAGTATCATGTGAGGCATCTAAGGTAAACATTTTTCTACATACATATAAATCATAAATTGTTAAAAAACATTTGCATGTATAAAATATTTGAGACCAATTTTGTTCGCAACACAACTGGATGTATGTTTGGAAACATAACAATCATGCAATATTTGGGAAATTCTTAAAACAAGCAGCATTCATTATTGTACTGCAAACCTCTGATAACCTCTGATAAATATAAAGGTCTGATATTTCATTGCCTTATCTCAGACAAGGATATTGATAAACTGGAGATTTCTTTTGTCTTAATCACCTGGAAATTTTATACATTCCAGCAAATATTTACGACATAATAAAGCAAGCCATTTCTCTAAATCAGTCCTGGTATTAATCTGATGTACGGAAATAGCAGAACTGCACAGCAACATGCTATGATTACCACCACATAGTTTAAATCAATAGGTTCAGATATTCCAACTAATATTTTACCCAGACAGTGATTTTTTTTTTGTCAGAATTTTTTGATCATTTTGGAAATTCTAGAATATTCTGGCAATGTCTGTCAGTAAAGGAAAATAGTGGTTTTATGATAAAGCAGAATTCCAGCACTTTATCTCAATCATACCACTGTGTGAAATTCATAGATGAAGACAAATTGATTTTCATACATTGAATTTCAATTATTTCATGATTTGGCAAAATCACCAGTGTTCGACCCATGGCTATGGGTGAAGTTGCGACAATATGAAGTAGTGCTGCAAAAATTTGTGGGTTGAGGGGGTTTAGATTAGCTACTGTAGTGAATGAATAACTAATATTCACATGCTCTGATAGGATTTTGGTGGGCAAATTTATATATATTTTGTATACCTATACCAGAGTAATGATACGAATATATATTTATATATTTTTTAATACCTGAGGTCCAGCACAACTGATTTTGCAAACATCACAGTAATGAACTTGCTGTTGTCTAGGGGGGTTCCTCTGCCTCGATTGACCTGGTTTATTGTTCTGATTACCGCTATTGTTGTTCTTATTTCCTCCCCATTTTTGCCTTGGCTGCGTTTGTTGTTGAAAGTACGAAGAAGCAGCGTTGTAAACAGCTGCATCGTAGCCCTGTGCAGGCTGATAGCCTCCTCCTGCGTTGCCAGACCAATTTGAAGGCGAATTATAGGAGCTCGAATTCTGGTTGTAGTTCGTGCCTGTTTGGCCTTTATAAGGATAGGAAACGTTACTATTTCCTGACGCTTGGGTACTTGCCTTTGGCGTGCTCGGGTTCGCCATTTGATTGTTCGCATTTGACTGCGTCGAATAGCCGGAATACATGGATTTCGATGCCCCAGAACCGTAGCCATAGCCCGGTGTCGTGCCTGAATGTTGGTTGTAATAGCTGTTCGCTTTCGAAGCATCGTAACCTGACGATTGTTGTGAGTTGTCACGGCCATAGTATGGAGCAGGGCTTGTATATGCGCTCGCCGCGTTCGTTGGGTAACTTTGAGAAGAGGTATCTTGCACTCGAGCAGTATATCCGTAGGAGCTTCCAGATAAAGCGGTCGTTTGGTAGTTAGAAGCGGCCGTTGGTGTATAAGCACTTTGCCCCGGCATGACACTTCGTGGCGATGCGGTTCCGTAAGCATTGGCGCTTGGTGTCGTCGATTGAGCGCCATAAGCGGCCGTAGTTTGTCCACTGTACGCCGACTGAGTCATCTGTGGGTTTTGCATCGTATTGCCGTACACTTGCGAGCCCTGAACACCGGCTGAATAGCCGTAATAATTGCTGTTTTGCGCCATATTTCCTTCTTCTCAAAGCGAAACGAAGGCTGCATGTGACGCCACGTGCTAACACGGCATTCTGGGATACTCCACGAAGACGTTCCGGATAATTCCGAATGTGCAGGGTATATAACAATTAACTATAGTTGGTGGCAGAATTGGCCAATCAGAATAATGTATTTTCTAGTTAACTACGATTTAACTACTTAAAATGTAGTTAGGAGTTTTATACAACCTGCCCCAGTGGTTATTATGTAGCTCAGACTGCTCAGTGCCTGTAACTCAGTAACAATTAAAATTCCTCAAAATATCCTCCTCAAAAATGTCCTCAAAATATCCGACAATATTGCCAAAAGGTCAAGCATTTGTTAAATTTCACATAGGAATGTATAAATAATTAAAATATCAAATAAAATAAATAATTAAATAAAAATAATTAATAAAATTAAAATAAAAAAAATAAACCTGTCAGTATAAATAGTGTCAGTATTAAAATCTGTAGTTTCGTCCACATTTTAATATATAGTTCTCGCATTAGCAAAAACAGCGTCTACGACTTGTATTCATCTTAAAAAACACTATATTGCAGGTCAGGCCAAAAATATATACTTACAAAATCCAGGGGGAGAATGCTACTGTAGCGGGCTCAGAATTAGGATTACCACTAGTCAGTGGTAAATACCATGGCCAAAAGGATTAAAGGCACCAAATGGCGTCAGCAGAGCTTGAAAGCCGAAATCCGCCATATTTGTGGATATTTGTTATAAAGAGCCCTTGTTCTTGGGTAAATAACCGGCAACTGAATTCACAAAACACACATATAAAACGTTTACTTTAAATGCAGATTACAGCCGCTGATATAAACAAACGCCTTGTTTTCAATCACAAAAATCAAGAATGATTTTCAATCACAAAAATATCAAGAACGGTCAGAATATTTAACACTATTTTGGTTCCCTATAATTCTAAATGAGTATAAGCTGGAGTTCAGAAAATTAGTAAACGGGCTAAATTTCAGAAATTCTAACACGGCATGAATAACGTCAAAAGACTGGGTCAAAGTTTGTGATTGGTGAACTGTATGTCACGTGAACTGAGTGCTTAAGCTCACTGTTATTTAGGCCAGAATCTCCCATTCTTATTATTTAAGTATGTTCTGCGGTCAAAGCATTTTGGTCGGGCACGACCATTCCAGGAGGTTTCCCCAGGCTATCGTAAGTTAAATTATCCCTCTCCGTTTCTGTAGACTCCCTCCGCCCTATGATGCCCAACCTATCGTATGGCAGAAAAATTTGTCTGATGTTACGTTGCATGACGTCATAAACATGATGGCCAAACTCGTCCACATTCCCCCACGCGTTTCGAAGCCATTCAACAGTCATTGGTCGGAATACTTGCAGTCTGTGATAGAAAGAGTTTTGCGAGGGTCGTGTGTTCATGTATTCCCTTCGGTAGAGTACAACACCGCGGGATAGGCCTGGAACGGGTTACCCTCGGTTGTGAGGTTTCCATATTCGACACTTTCATTATTCTCCTGTGAGGAACTCGCGCCATCTTCATGGTGACGACCCGAGGAATGTTGGGAAAAACGAAAAATTGCGTAATATGGATCAGATCCTGGAGGATTGAAATTCAGGACATTAAGTTATGTATATCAGTATATGAAAACATAGATCGTTTCAACAACTGAGTTTTATTCAGATTCACACAATCCGTCTTATCCGTTAACGTTTGTAATTTTGAAGACTTTGATATTGTTTTATACATCAGCATTTTCTCAGAACTCTACTAGCGCACTCTCGGAAAACAAAGGCGAACACTCCGAACATGAGAAGTGAGATTCATCTCTCAATAGGAACGGTGTAAATGCACGTTGCCGAGGCTTACCTTGTTTTTTGTACCATCGTTTTCGTAGAAGAAAGATAAGAATGGCAGCTGCAGTGACAAATGTAAAACTTGCAACACCAACAATGATACCAATCGTCTCGGAATCACCTGAAATTTTGCAGAACACAATTTGATTTTAGACTGAGCTAGTATATCGATTTTTATTTTCACAAAATGGAGTTTTCAGATCAAGTTTTGCTTATGTGTTTCGCCGTGTATACTTCAGTCTTTAATTATTCTTCAATTTATTAGTTTTCCATTAATCAAGATTGGCCATTTTTAGCTGGCTTTCTTCTTACCAGGACATGGTTGGTTCTTGCATGGGCGGTTCTCGAAGTCTGGTCCTAGCTTACTACAGTTACCACCGTATTTTCCGGGGGGATGTCACACATCCGTATCCAGGCTTCGACTCCTCTACCACACGTGACGCTACATGGCAACACTTTCGTCCAATTGCCATAGTTACCGTCGACTAAGGCAAAAAATGTAATTGTACTTCCGACAAGGGAAACAAAATATTTCTGCCCCGAGGATAGACATGAAAAGATTATTAATATTCAAGATAGTAATATTCCAATATACAAGAAAGTAAAGCTAGTTAGCTTTTGTTCATTTTTTTGCTTTCCGTTTTAGCATGCAGCAGAATGATGGAACGGGCCAATCATTGTATTACTACCGTGGCCTCGATTAAACAGGTTTAATTTTCTTTGGTCAATTTATTCCTACTTGAGCATGGTTTTCTTTCACATTTTCTCAATGCCGTAGAGTTTCCCAGCCCACTGCAATTGCGGCCTCCGTATTTTGGTTCTGGATCATCACAATAACGTCGCCATATTTCCACTCCTTTACCGCACGAAACGTTGCAAGGAATAATGACACTCCAGTTGCCATAACCACCGTTAACTAGAAATAAAGAGGTAAAAAGAATACAAACAAAGGTCACAACATGCACAACCTATTCCCCTGGCGGAGGTATTGATTTATCTCACCAGGACAAGGCCTTGCTGAACAAGATCTGTATTCCACGGGTTCTCCAAGATAACTGCAGTTTCTTCCGCCAAATTTTGGCTCAGGGTTGTCACAACTTCGTGTCCACGTTTCAAAACCTTCACCACAAGTTACATGGCACACGTTCTTTAATATCCAGTTGCCATAGTTACCTTCAACTATAAACACAAATATTGTACAATGTTAAAGCTAATGCAATCTATTAGAACAATTTCATGTTATCATTCTTAAATTAAACTGTTTTCTTATCATTCAGTGCTATATATGTCGAACAGTAAAAAATACTACATATTACTCGATGCAAACTTTTTTGTACCAATAATGTTGTAATTTTTTGATATTTTTTATTACTGTGTAATTTGCATACCTGTGTACCTGCAAAACTATTCTAACTAAGAGGCTGTTTACATGAGCCCGGTTACCCGAGATTCAACGAAGCATGAGATGATTCTGAGGTATTGAAATGAGAAGATAACATGATCCTGGCAGTCGTATAATCACCACAACAATAGCATGTGCTTGTTTGATGTCATAAAGACTTATTTCAATACCTCAAAGTCCTCTCACGCTTCGTTGAATCTCGGGTAACCGGGCTCATGTAAACAGCCCCTAAAACTATATTTCCTATTCTATACTACACAGTGACGGGTTTTGTTTGAATGATTCTACAATATGAAAGACGTTCAATCAGCCTTTCTGAAAACCTGCCACGTTTTCCTTTTTTATGTTCCGTTGCTATAACCCTTTATATCATCAATGGTTCCATACATTCAGGAATATATTATGACTGTACCTGGTGTACATTTAGGGATATCGCAGTACTCCCATCTCTTGTTTCTATCTGTGGTAAAACACCAAGGTCTTTGTCCTGAGTTCTTGGGATTACGACAGTAATTCTTGGCATTATATAATTCTGGATATGTGGTGTTCATGGTATGACGATGTGGACATTGTTCTGTCCATGACTGACATGAAATACCCGAAGCCGTCACTGATATGTTGCCATGGTAACTGCTTCCGTTTAGGTATAGACAATCTGTGCAAAAATAGTTGTTTGTTGATAATTTTTCTGGCTTCTCTAAACTTCTCAAGATCCAATTTTTTTTCGGATCATATTCACTTCTGACTTATAAAATGCACTCTGTTCTTGATAAATCTGTGTGTTACACCTTATACATTCCAAGTAAACTGATCATAAAATCATCTTTCGACTAACACGTACCTAAATTTGCTGTCCAGTTAGGGTTGGAAGATTCATCTGAAAGAAAGTGATAAAGAAAAGCTATAACACCATAAGAACGCCAAAACCATTGTCTTTGTATATAATTGTCTCGAGAAGTACCCGAAACTTTTTGTTCTACGTTTTTCGTCGTTTTTGGGCCATTTCATGCGTACAGTATACGTTTGTATTGTTCGCAGTGACTACATCTCGTCAATCCAACGATAACTTAATTGTACATTAATTGACGCTTAATTCTCACCACCCTAATGCGGAATACTCACTGGTTTTAATGACTTTGGACACCTGGAAAAAATTCTTAGAAGGGTAATTAACGATTAAATCTTATTTCTTTAAAAAAAGGTCTGTGGAATACAACCTTAAAATTATCTCTGCTCCAATGCGAAGTATTACCTGTGGAATTTGTTAAATCATCATACCAACATTCAGGGCTGTCACCTGCATTTCTGTAAGGCTGCCTTTCACAGCGGAAGGTTTCCTTTATTATCGACGCCTTGTCTCGGTGAAGGCGCACCACCATAGCCTCAATAAATTTCCACAACTTATAACATGTCTTCCTTGCTTTGAGACAGGTTTCACGACAAACCTTTTGCTCTTTATACACGCTTTGGGTTCGATCGCAGCGCGGAAAAAAGAAATGGCATCTGAATAAATCGAAAATATGCATGCAATTTTCCAACTTGCTCAGGTCCAAACTGAAAAAGCTGATGATTTTGGCTTTTCGTAACTTGTAAAAACTTTTCCTGTCCTTGTTTGCATAGAAATTCGACTTTGATTGGTTTTGAGGTGTCATATACACGTAGTTGGGTAACGTGATTCCTTGATTTTCACAATAAGGCCGAGTGAAATTCACCAAAGGATAACATGAACTCGAGTTGAGTATTGGCTCAGCTTCGGCAGGAATACAAGTTCTGTTGCAAGTAATTCAAAACAAATTCATGTTTTAAGGAATCTACTCAGTAAACTTCGTGTCTATATTACACCTACATATCCACTTTCCCTAAAAATAATTTTAAGCAGCAAGAAAGTTTCATCTTATTAATAGTTCATGCACAAAACAACAGGGAGAATGAAGAAAGTCCATACACAATGGTGTTCATTAAAATCATAAAATGGTACTTTTCACCTGTTCTTGTCTTGAAAACTGTATTTACCTGAAAAAAATAGAGAAATCGTTGAAATATGTAATTTTGCCAGGGCTGTTGTTTTACCAACCTAATTTTCTATTATCGCATTCATAGCCTTTTTCTTTAAACAGTTCACATGCAATTGCTTTGTGGTTCCTGACAAATATCCCAGTTCCAGGTTTGAAAAGTTAGTGAACGAGGTTTATATAGTTCACTCTTTGTAATTCGTTGTGCTGCATGGATTGTATTTTGGACTCGTCCAGTATCAGTGGCATTCTCGGTAGTTGATTGACGAAAGTTCAGCCTTTTGTCGGGTCGGTTTATATATTGGGCATCCGACCAGCTGAATGAATTAGTTATACAACTTTACAAGCACTCTCGAGAGAACAGAGAAAACAAAAGTGAAAACAAGGGCAGCCAAAGGTTCGCCAATTTATTCATGTTTTATCTGAAACTCTAATCGTATAAATTCACAAATGAGAAACATAAATAGAGTTGAATTGAATTTAGATTGAATGCAGAAAGTGGGTAAGATCATGACCAACATACGTGAAAGCGATTTCACTGCTTTTGCGCCCTCTGCATGTCAGCATGTGCATGCTCAGCAAAATGCCGAGATGCAATATATAAGTAAGATACAGCATAGTTGCAATTGATGAACCAGGTGGGAATCGTAATCGTATATAATATATAAAAGCCCAGCAAAAAATACGAAGGACAGCCAGAACACAATTTTTTCAATACAACTTAATATAGAAGCTAACGTTTCGTCTTTAACCTAAGACATTTTCAAAGCGAATGGAATATATAATACAGATGACATATAGCTATATATAATTATATAGTTATATATAATTATTCATATTCTATATAGATGTATTATATTTCATTCGCTTTGAAAACGTCTCAGCTTGAAGATGAAACGTTAGCTTCTATTAAATAGCATGAAAATATTTGTGTTATGGCCGTCTTTCGTATTTTCTTGCTGGGCTATCATATTATATTACGATTAAGATACAGTAGACCTAGTTTATAATACAATTCCCTGGTTTATAATAATTATATAATTGACTGGCCAAAGACTACGAAAGAGATGACTGGAAAAGGACTACATACTGATAAGATAAGTAACAGAGGGCAAGCCAGTTCTTCGTGTTTATTAACAGAGAGGTAACTAACATGATATTGACTGGCCAGAAAAGTTGCGGTTTCGACTTGAGTGGGTTGCTGTACATTCCTTAAGAATATTCCTCAAAGACATGTTGTAGCTATATTGCCCGAATTAAAGCAGCGTGGCAACGTTTTTGAAAACTTCAAATTAAATAGCTACGGTTGAGCAACAACGTTAAATGGGGAAATAAGGAAACTTTAAATGTTTAAACCAAAGGACCTTCTTCACAAACGCCAGTGTAAGTGAGGCTTATTTGTCTTTACGTGTTGTTCAGTTATTAATATTATTATATTATCATTGTATAGATTAATATTATTCTAAGCAGTTGCCTGCACTTAATGATTCCTGATGAGACAGCTAGACCTCTAGAGTTCTGCTTTTTTATAACACCAAAAGTTACTCGAAACCTACCCTATAGCATGATTAGTCGACGCAGTTTTTCAAATTGTTTTTGCAGAAATCTTTTCTAAATCATATCAATTTGTCGTACATTTTATCTAAAGTTAGCCTCCCTAATCTAGTTTTGCTTATAGTAAAAGGAACTGACCCGCTTTGTTGTTTTGCCATAAGTAGTTAAAGATGAGATATATAAGCAAACATCTAATTTAGTGTAAAATACTCAAATTACCTGCACCAGCGTGGAAAATTGGTCCAAGAATTAGTATAATACCACCACCAAAGATAAAACTGAGCATATCCGTTGAAATTTGGGACTCCAATCAAAAAGGTTAGGTTTAACTTACGCTTGATTTAACAGTCGGCCAAAGCTCAATACACTAGTACTTTGATCCCAATCGTCTGGAAGCTTCTAAATTATATTTCACGTGACGCCTTCAGTGTCAATTCCACTTGAAGACTTCCGTGGCTCAACGCAACGTAATGTCGTCATCAACGACTTCCTTCTTACGGCACAACGCATGTACATCACTTTCACATTTCGTTCTTTTACATTCTTTACAAATACATTTCGACAGTCATGCTTATACTTCAAGATAAAAACACCCGAAGCCAGTATTGTTCAAAAATGCCGCTACATATTATTTCTTCAATGATAAAAATGGGCTTACTCAAAAGGAAATAACTGATTCAAGTTTTAAATCAAGATTTGTCAAATTACAGGATTTGGGTATGAGCTTGGCAAATGGACAACTTGCGCTTTAGATTAATTTTCGAACGAAGTAACTAGAGGAAAATAAATCATCACAGCTAGAAAGATCTTACTAAAATTAGTGCAAGTGCGAAATTTTGTAAAATACGGAAAATATATAGCAATGCGAAGTTGGCAAAGTTTGTATACTTTTGTATTACGTGTGGAAATGTGTAACTAAATTAGTTACACACTTCCGGCCGTAATACAAAAAATACAAAAGTTGACAACTTCACATGGCTATATTTTCCGTAATTTATAACAATTCACAGCCACACTTGGCAGTTTTACTAATTTTAGCAAGCTCTTTCATAGAATGTTCATTTTTTCTCGAAGGTAAGAAATTAGTCTAAAGCGCAAGTCGACCATTTGAATATGAAAAGCATCAGTTCCCACTCGTCCTGCACAGGGTGTCCCCCAAAAATCAAAACTATTCATATCACCTATAACAATGTATTATGTATATACGTACACGAATATAATTATGCTGTTCCGCAAAGCTTTGGTGTTATATAACTTATATATTACCCATCTCCCCAATTTACCTATAACTGCATGGACTCCCTCCCTCTTATGAATAATGTGATTTTTTATTTTATTCCCTGATATATATAGATAAAAAATAAAAAATATGTTCCCAAAGTGAAAAAATATTCGCCATCGCGAGAGAGGCTAAAAGTATACCTGAAAACTTGCATGCAGTTTCCACGCTGGTGTATAAATATAACTGATTGTCAATTTCATTCTTCAACTTTAAAATTCTTAGTCTTTTAAATAAGTGGAAGTTTCACCCATTCTGATGGAGTTAAGCAATTCGAGTTGTCAAAGCATTGCCAGATCCAGTTGGCAATACCACAGATGGAAGTCTTTTCAGAGTATCGTACGTTTGACTTCTTTCCTCCTTCTCACTTCCGTTAGAATCACCTTGCGACGATTTCTCGAGTGTGTTGCGAGGTGGATTACAGCTTCCGGCTGACTGACCTTCGCCTGTGTTGCCTGCCTTATCGTACAAAACAAAAACTCGGCCGACATAACGTTGCATGACATCATAAACATTGTTTCCAAACACATCCACATTGCCCCACGCGTTACGAAGCCATTCAACAGTTATAGGCCGAAATACCTGCAATCTGTCGTACCAAGATCTTTGGGAAGGTCTCGTGTTGATGTAATCGCTTTTGTAGGGTACAATACCGCGAGAAAGACACGGAGCCGGTTTACCTTCGGATGTCAGGTTTCCATAGTTGGGAATCGTACCATTCCTTTGTGAGGAACTTGCGCACTCTTCTGTATTGTTGTTATTTGACTGCTCTTGTTCACGACCAGGAAAATGTTGGGACGAAAAACGACAAATGGCATAATGCTGTATGTATTCTATGAAATTAAAACACAGATCAGGAGGAGTCTGTTGCAAAACTGGTAACTACGTTTGAGGAGGTTAAATCGTACTGACTCCAAAATTAATACGTGTTTTAATTGTTCAAATCCTGTCATTGATTAAGAGTTTACTGAGTTAGGGGCTGTTTACATGAGCCCGGTTACCCGAGATTCAAAGAAGCGTGAGAGGACTTTGAGATATTGAAATAAGTCTTTATGGCACCAAAATAGCACATGCTATTGTTGTGGTGATTACACGACTGCCAGGATCATGTTATCTGCTCATTTCAATACCTCAAAATCATCTCACGCTTCGTTGAATCTCGGGTAACCGGGCTCATGTAAACAGGCCCTTAGTCAATGTTCAAGGTTGATTTCCAAAGTTTCGTTTATTCTTATGTTTTCAACCAAAACTAATAGTCTTAAACTCAAACCATAATGTTCGTCCCTGACCAGGGGATAATTTTCTGGCTAGAAACCAGCCTTTACCAAATGTCAGGAAACTCAATAGAAATGTCCAGATCATACGGTATATACAGATGTAGTTTTCGACTGGAAACTGACGGTTGGGAAACATAATATATTAATATATTATCATGTGATTTTATATCTGCGAATGGGGTGTTTACTTCCTTTGGTTTTTTGAGTTGTGTCTCATGCAGTGTCTAGCTAATGAAGATTATCAAGCCTCATTCAATAAATGTTAATAATTATTATTATTATGCATTACTAATGCAATTTCGATTGTGATTGTGATTGGCTAAAAACCTACTGAAAATTCTCAATGTCATGCCACCTACGCGACATTGAAAATTATCCGTAGGTGACGTAAGTTTTTGCCGCTAGTTTGTTGTCAATAATGGCGCAGGCTTCCTCTCTTAAAAGGAAATACATAATAAAACATTTATTGAATTCGGTTTTTGCATGATATCGAGAATTATCGAGCCTCAGTTCAATAACGCAAACTTCGGTTTGATAATTCTCGATCACACTCAGCTTCATCTAATAATTGTTATTTATTATTCTCCAGAAACTGCACAAATGCAAAGAAAATAAACTCACCTCGTTTTCGCCGTCGTTTTCGCAGAAAGATAAAAATTGTAATCGCAGCAACGAGTAAAAAACTTGCAACAATGGCAATAACACCAATCTCTTCGGAAGAAACTAAAATTTTTCACAGGAAAACTCAGCTTCAGCTTCAAAAATGCCTTGTTTGAGTGCCTTGTTTGCTCATAGGAAAAACTTATTGTTATTCAAGTTTACATCTCGCTGTGGGTTGTATAGTTTCGTTTTTCAGTATACCAAGATCAAATACATAGCAATTAAGATGGACAGCAAAGTGGAATTCTTACCTTTCGTGAGTTTTTTTTCTTTTGTTTTCGATCTTATACAATGAAATACTGTATGATAAAATATAATCGTATGATAGTTCACCTGGACAAGCTTCATTCCTGCATGAGCGTCTTTCTTGGTCTGGTCCCTGCTTACTGCAATTACCGCCGTATTCGCCAGGAGGGTTATCGCATTCTCGTATCCACACTTCGACTCCTTCACCACACGTGACGCTACATGGCGACGCCCTCGTCCAGTTACTATAGTTACCGTCAACTATATAAGAAAAGTATTTGAAATTCGATACTAGACGAGTGCAATAGTAAAAATGTTTTCACGATGTGAAAGATGAAATGTTCCATTCAACAAGGCGATAGCTTTGTCTTTCTCGTATTTTCAGCGTCTGAATCTTCAATAAGTTGAGAAATGTAAATAAATTGCGACCACGGTTGCGAGAAGCATTTTAACGGATGATATTTACTTAAAGCATATAAAGAGTTCAATAGAAAAAATGTGTAGTGCAATTGCACTCTGGAGAGTGCAATGGAACGCATTCCATTGGACGATAAAACAACGAACGTTGTTACATCAACGTAATGTTAGTTTCAATCTTCTCATTTTAGCCCAACGACAATGTTGCAATTCCGCGGAAACTACTGGACGTTGATATTTGATGCTCAAACTTTATATTAAACACCAATTCTTCCTTTTATTTTTATGCGTGATAATTTCAAATATAATATTACAGGCTTTCGAAATTGGAACAAGTGTATTGCTTCATCCAGTTTTTTTTAAATATTCATCAAGCGGCCACTAATCAGCTGAGTTTGTTTGGCATGAAAATTGCAAAGTGAAGTCATAAGTGGTTTTGATATAGAACAATTCCTAGCACTTTCCACTTTTGCAAAGTTGTAGCTAAGTATATCGTAACTTGGAAACACCCTGGGTCAGAATCATGCAAGGACAAGTGCTGCTAAAAGCACAATAAACGTTGATTAGCTACCGTAGCAAAAGTATCTGCATAAATAGGCCGTCGAGCTCGGCAAAAGCCTATAAATTTGTGCACCACTTTTGGTCACTTTTGATTCCTTAATTATCCCGCCTTGTATCAGACAAAACATTCAGTAAAGTAATTTCATCCTTACTAGGGCAAGGCATTGTGTTACAGCTCCTCAATTCCATCGAGTTTCCCAGCCTACTACAGTTTCTGCCTCCGTATTTTGGTTCTGGATTATCACAACTACGCTTCCATATTTCAACTCCTCCACCGCACGAAACATTGCAAGGGATACTCAAACTCCATGTGCTAAAACCGCCATTAACTAGACAAATATAAAGCAAAGAAGGAATATTCATGCATATAGCTTATTCAACTATATACCGCCCAGGTTGGACACTCCTGTCTCAAGACTTTTAATCAAGATCACTCTTTCCCCATGTTAGGTAAAACCGTGAACGCTAAACAGAAAGGGATCATCAATTGCAGCCTAGCTAATCAAAGTCTAACACCTGTATTCAAAAAGCTCACTCACACTCACACTCATGGAGTGTGACAGATGAATTTTGTTAATGCTGATCAATGAGAAAGTTTTCTCTGAATAGATGGAAAGATATAAGGTAAATCACTGAAAATCAAGCCCCTATTCGGCTCGAAATACCGCCATTGAAACCTTAGGAGAGGATTAAGATCTCCCACTCAATGAGTTTGAGTGTGAGTGAGCTTTTAGAATACAGGCGTAACTCTTCAACTTACGCCACTCTTTCGGCGTACGTGAACTCGTATAAGCTTAGACGCTTAAACTTAGAAACTCGACGCATGCACGCAATGCATCACTATAAGTAAATTTTGAAGCTTTCCTTTTTTCAGTAAAAACGCCAGGCGGTCCCGATTTATTTCAGTACTGACGGTTACAGATCGTTATTTACATCTGCACTAGCACGAAAAATGCAGTTTCACTGCTGTATTCTTCAGGAAATATTCAATTCAGTCAAAATATTATAGGTCTGACCACTTTGGCCACTTAATGGATAGCGTCCAATGTTTTTCACTACCGGCAGAAATATTTATAAATACTTTATGAGAACTAATAAGTGTGAACATTACAGCAACGGGAACCTTGCTTTAATTGATTTGTTATAAAAACCCGTGAACTTCGAACAGCAGAATTTGAACGTCAGGAAATAATTTCACTCACCGATACAAGGTTTCACGAAACAAGGCCTATATTCATCTCTCTCTCCAAAATGACTGCAATCTCTTCCACCAAACTTTGGCTCAGGATTCTTACAAACTCGTGTCCATGTTTGTAAACCTTCACCGCATGTCACACTACATGCACTTTTTATTGTCCAGTTGCTATAACCACCATCAACTAAAGCCAGTAGAATACATTAATACAATACGATCAATCTAATGACATCATTGTTACCCTTATATTCATCATTCAAACGACTGCGACTTGTGATATAATAATTAATTATAAATATGGGTAGAATTTCTAGTAATCATCGTAAAAACAATGTCTGCACAGTTAAAATGTTTGAAGATTATTACTATTTGAATATTTACTGTTTAGATTTGCCAGTCTAGTCCGAAACTTTGTTTTAAAACCAGTAGCACTCGAGGGGGTCGAACTATCCTGCAGGAATATCTTGATATGAAGTCACATTGGCTAATTATTGTATAAAGGTATTCCCAAAGGTATTTATGTAACAAGATTCGTGTTTTCGGGGCATTACCGGTGAAATTCAATCGTTTTCTTGATGCTATAAACCTTGATGTAATTTGTGTACCAATGTTGGCATAAAAGATATCATATCATGACGGTACCTGGTATACACTTAGGGATATCACAGTACTCCCATCTTTTGTTTCTATCTGTGGTAAAACACCAAGGTCGTTTTCCTGAGTTCTTGGGATTACGACAGTAATTCTTGGCGTTATTTAATTCTGGATATGTGGTGTTCATGGTATGACGATGTGGACATTGTTCCGTCCATGACTGACACGGAGTACCCGAGTCTGTCACTGATATGTTGCCATGGTAACTGCTCCCGTTTAAGTATAGACAATCTGTGTGCGAAGATCGCTGTTAACTTAATAGTAGCTATACCGTTATGGCATATTTCTTAAGCCCTCTTTATAGACTACACGATAAGTTAAAATGCAATTATCATTCTAACGGATGCAAAAGAGGGCATGTGCCACAATCTTTATT